GGGATGGGTTGCGGAGCATCCACTGCGCTGTGGGCCCTGCCTGACGTGTGTTAGGCTTTCATATGGACGGAAGGAATAGAAGAGTGTGGAAGTTCTGGGTCTGCCCACCAAAACGTGCAAATATTTGTTCAGAGAAAGGCGAATGGAAACAACCTCTCACACCTTCCCAAAGATGGATGAGCTCTCCGGGCAGGAGAGAGACGTCATTACAGAAGAAGAGCAAGCTTTAGCTTTTTTTTTTAAAAGATTTTATTTCTCCTTTTTTTTCTCCCCAAAGCCCCCTGGTACATAGTGGTGTATTTTTAGTTGTGGGTTCTTCCAGTTGTGGCATGTGGGGCGCCACCTCAGCATGGCCTGATGAGCGGTGCCATGTCTGCACCCAGGATTCGAACCAGCGAAACTCTGGGCTGCCAAAGCGGAGCACGTGAACTTAACCTCTCGGCCACGGGGCAGCCCCCGCAAGCTCTAGCTTTTGAAAAAGACAGAAATCTCCCTAATGCGGGGACCAGCTGCACTGCACCAGGCCGGCCGAGGTGCTCTTTTCAGCGGAGACATTTATTTTTAAAGTGAGGACTGGGAGGCCCTCTTCAAATTTGTGGGCCGTAATTTAAAGTTCGGCCATCTATGGATGTGTCTGTAACGACACACATCACATCGTAAGATGCTCCCAGGAGGGGTGCACTCTGCCATTTGCCTGGGCACTCCAAGTGGGAGGGAGGACGTCCAGCTGGTCACAGAGCCCCACGGGACCCGGCCACACAGATGCGTGAGGACGAGTGCTGAGGGGTGACAAGGACCAGAGAACCGGTTATACCGAGAAGTGGCTAGCCTGGTCACCCCCGGGGGACGGCGCAGGCTGGCTCGTGCAGGTGCACGCTGGCCGCCAGCTCTCTGCCAGCCAGGACTCAGTCTCGGCACGCTTCTGCTGTGGAGTTCTTCCGCGCAGTAGTTTCAGCATCGGCACAGCTCTTGTCCTTCTTTGATTTTGCGTTTGTTTCTTTTCCTTTTCTTTTCCAGGAATTTCAGTAACAGCTGGCACCTTTGGAGTCAAGTCCTTCGACTCTTTGTTGGGCCCCTGGGTCCATGAGACGGTCTGTAATCTGACAGGCAGCGTCTGCGCCTTTCTTTCCATACATACAGGTCGTCCTCGATGCCGGGGACTTGAGGGAGCCGCGTCCGCTGTCGCCATGCAGCGTCATAACCTGGGAGCAGGTGCTGTGTGCCGGGCCAGGACCCTGGAGGGGCTTCTGCCCTCACACCCTCCCGAAGACTGCCAGGCAGCACCCCCTTGCCATCTCCCACCTCTGGGGGCTGGTGTCGAACTGTGCCTGGTCTGGCCGAGGTTCGGCTAGGTCCCCACCCAGCCACCCCTCCACTTCCTCCTGAGCCTGGCGTCTCCCACCCGTGCGGCCGGCAAACACAGCAGGGCTTTGTGCCTTCCTGGCTGTGTTGTCCGCTTCAGGGCCCATGGTGACACCCCCGCCTGCCCAGCCCACCCAGACGGAGACCTGAAACTTGTCAGCAGGGCTGGTCACCCGGCCTCAGCACAGGGGCCGCTGGCCACATCCTGAGGTGGGAGTCGAGGGGCAGGCAGGGAGGGGCGGCCGCGAGGACAGGTGGGCGATTGTTAGCTTTATCGCACTGCCATTAATTACGGCGATTACTCCGCCAACTTGGGGGCACGGCAGGGCCGGCCTGTCCTGCGGCCCCACCCTGCACAGGGTTTGCTTTCAGATAAGTCTGCGTGCACAGCAAGCGCCCGTATTAATCATTGTCAGCTCCGAGGCGCACAGGCCCCAGGCGGGCAGCGGGCAGCCCAGGCTGTTCGGCCGTCCTCAGCAGAGCGGCCTCGGCAGCGCCTCCTTCCACGGCTCGCACTCGGTGCCTCAACCCCCGGGGAGGATGGAAGAGGTGGCGCTGGGCTCCCTCCGTCCCCGGGCCCACCCTGGCCTTCGCCAGACCTGTCCGGACCAGCTCTGCTGCGTCTGCTCCGCCTGGTCCAGGGAGCGGCTGGCCCAGGTGTCTGGGGCATCGGAAGCACCCCGGGCTCTGGGGGTGAGGGCACTGCCCCCCGTAGCCCCTGCCCACCCTAGCCAGGACAGCCCTTGGGACCAGCTTCTTTCTCCTGTTGAATCACCTGTGGACACACGTGTGGCAGCATGGAGGGGCGGGGCCACGCAGGACCCCCAGGACTCGCGCTGGGCACCTGGGCTGAGGGCTGGACTGGAAGCTCGCCACTGCTCTGGGCCTCCGTGGCTCTGCTCGCTTCTCACCCCAGAGCGACTGTCCGAGCGGTGACACTGCCACATCCTGGCCTGTGGGCAGCTGGAGGAAGGGGCAGTGCCACCCAGCACATCCTCCATGTACGCAGAGTGACGCAGACTGACTTAGAGTCGCCCTTGTGTGCTCTCTGCCCCAGGACCCCCAGGACTTACACTGAACTTTGGTCCTGGGGCACATCCCCTGAGGGATCTGTGGGTGTCATGCTACAGCCTCTGATGGCACCCCAAGACCGCAGGTGCTCGCGGGCATTTCTGTAGTAGCAACAGTATCCTGGGGGTAACTGAGTCTCAGATGGTGGTTCTGAAGCATGTGGACTTCAGGCCCGGCTCCATCCAGATTGCGTCTCAAATGGCGCTTTTAAGCTGGGCCTTGTACAGCACTTGTCAAGCCGTGTGCAGCTGTGTGCCCACCCCTCCTCTGAGGTTGCCCAGAGGGGCGCAGCCAGGGTAGGGGACGTGGTGGAATGCTCTGGAATCGGCAGGAAGCACCAGACTCACAACATGAGTCACAGAGAGCTGCCAGATAGCGCTCGCTGCAAAGTGTAGCTGCTTCCTGCGCGGCGGGAGAAGCGGGCAACAGGTGGCAGGCCTCGTCCTCAGGGAGACCTGCTGGGCCGGTCACAGATGCTCTCTGGGTAAACTTGTCCTGCCGCTGCCTCATAGCAAAGAATCCCTTGCTCCAGAACAACTCGTAGAAGGAGAAAATGACACTGTGCACAGACCAGCCTGCCGTGGGCTCAGAGCCTGCAGGACCTTCTGAGCTGTGGCCACAGGCCTGCCGGCCAGCCTCACCCCTGACCTTTGCCCCCAGCCAGGGAGCTTGCTCTGGGGTGACTCAGCACATTGTCCTTTGGAAACTCGGGGTAGACCCATGTGGACCCCTGATTCCTGCAGCTCCCAGGTGACGCGTTCCCCGAGGAGGGCCGCGTGGCCCGTGAGTCCCACTGCAGGGAGCCCGTCCCCCGTGTCCCCTGGGCGCCCAGATTAGGTCCTGCGTTCGAGGCCAGGCAGCTCCCAGCCGGTGGACAGTTCCTTCCTAGTGACAGTCGGGTTACTGAGAAGCCCTGAGGGAGGAGACCCCTTGCTAGGTGCTGGGAAGCAGGACGGCCGTCGGCTCGCCGCTCCTCCTGAGAAGCAGTCTGTGGGTAGTGAGTGCCCTGTGCTCTTCAAAGTGCGACGCCGTCGGAGGGAGGCGCTCCGCAGGCTTGCTTCTAACCCCATTCGCTGCTTTGGGTCTTCAGTCTGGTAAGGCAGCCTGCCCCTCTGGGCGCCGAGGGGAAGTCCTGCTTCCGTTGAGAGCGTGTGGGGTCCCTCGGGGAGGACGGGAAGGGCCCAAACCGCCAGCTCGGGGCAGAGACGCGACCTGTGAATCTGACCGCGCCGCCAGTGCTCGAGGCTCAGGGGTGACGTGGGTCTGGGGCCAGGCCAGAGTCCTCACCTGACCAGGCGCCCTCAGCAGGAGCAGCCCGAAAGCCAGTGTGTTCGTCTCTTCCCGCTAAAGCAGCCAGGAATTTAGTGGAGAACAAGATGCCGCCGCAGCAAATACCGTCTGGGGTTTTGGATTAACCTAAAAAACACACGAGACTTTACAAAGAGAAATTTAGACTCTAGTGAAGGCCATACAAGATGCACCACAAACAAGCAGACCCGCACTCGTGTGAGCACCTCGCACAGCCAGGGCTCCCCCCAAAGCCAGTTCGTCCCACTGAAGCTCAGTTACTGTTACTTTAATGCAGGTCCGGTCAAACTGCCCACTTGGGGGCGGGGTCCGCAGTTGTAAATGGACCGGGATAGGCCTGCTGGGCAGCTCAGAACTCAGAGGCAGGACTGTTCTGGTGAGTTCTGGAAACAGGAGGAAGCTGCTCACCTCAGCCAGGCCACTGTGCACAAGTGGCTGGTGTCTGAGGCACAGCCAGCCAGGCCCCAGGACAACAGGGGCATGCTCAGCTGGCAGTCACAGGCCGAGCCTTGGGGCTGGCATCACTCCCACTTGCTTCTCGCCCATGTTTGCATGACTTGTCAGTCCGTCATCGGCTGTGGTGCCTCCATTCCCGGGGGCCCAGGCCTCCCAGTGGCCGAGCCAGGGCAGTGGGCGGGAAAGGCAGCGAGTCAGGGACAGTTACACTGCGCCACAATGATGACCCCAAGGCCAAGGCCTGGTACCTGGCACTTCCTAAGATGGGGACACTGCAGGGGGAGCAGGCTGTGGGACAAGGGTGTGTCTGAGTGGGGCGATGTCTGCAGGCTCCCTCGGAGGCACGCAAGATGTGGAGACAGAGTCCCCAGCAAAGGTGCCTGCATTAGAGGCATTTCACATGAGGAGACAGCCGAGTCACTGGGCGCAGGAGGAAGGAGGGCTGGCAGAGCTGGGTGCGTCCGCGCCACGGTGGGGCAGAGGAGCAGGGGGTCATTTTTTCCCTTACAGATTTGTGCTGTAGACCGTGTCCAAAAATAAGGACAAAGTTTAATAGACGATTCACTTCTTTAAGCGATGGTTTATCTGAAGATACTGTGTTAGAACCAAAACTCGAGTGAGAACTTAAATTGTGAGTTTGACTTTCCACTGTGGAAACTTCTGTGTGTGTACTCTCTCCCTGGGTAGCATTGGCCACGCTAAGGTGTGTGGGGAAAGACTCTGCAGGGCCCTCCCCCTCGGGTTGAGGAGGAGGGGCTGGAGCCAGGCAGCACTGACCCGGCCTTTGTGTCCTGTCTCCCCAGCTACCCGTACAGCGAGGACTGCAGCCAGGGCCAGCAGTACATGAACACCCGGTGCCCCGCGTGGTGCGACCGTGTCCTCATGTCCCCCTCCGCCAAGGAGCTGATTCTGAGGGTAAGTGCTGGAGCCCCCAGCGCCCGGCCAGCCATGGCCCCGGGACCACCACTCAGAGGGACCCAGAGTGCCAGCCCACGTTGGGGAGCCGCTGCGTCTGGAGGGCGTGTCTTTCTGTTGACCCAGGGTGAGCCCTGACCTCATCCTGCAAGGCTCTCGGTCTCTCTGAAGCCAGTGCACAGGCTGGAGGGGTCTGCCGCCAGAGCTGGGTGTCTGGCCCCTGCAAGCATCCAGTATCTTTCTGAATCGAAAATGTGCATAAATGGTCATCAGTTAGAGCTTTAAAAATCATTATAGGGACCGGCCCCATGGCCTAGTGGTTAAGTTCAGTGCACTCCACTTCGGCGGCCCAGGTTTGCAGGTTCGGATCCTGGGTGCGGACCTATACCAGTCATCATCTATGCTGTAGCACTGACCCACATATAAGATAAGGGAAGACTGGCACAGATGTTAGCTCAGTGCAAATCTTCCTCAGGAAAAAAAAAGTCATAGTTTACTGTGTCCTCATGAATTAAGTGCACTTGTGCACACAGAGGAGCTTGTGGCTGTGAAGCCTGGTCGAGACGTCTGTCGTGACCTTCTGAAGCTGTAAGTCAGAGCCAGGGTCACACCAGGCCTGAGCCATTAGAATGAATGGGTGACATCCAGGAGATGGCCTCATGTACTGAGCATGGGGAAATTTTAGGGTTTCTTGTAGCCTCTTGATTTTCCAGGTTGTTCAGTGCCCAGATTTTAACACAAAAGGAGCGTTTTCAAAGGAATCAATATCTGAATTGGTTTTGTCAACTCTGTTACTGAAAAACTGTGATAACGAAGTGTACTGATTCATCGGGACGGCACCCTGGTCAGGGTTCAGAGCAGACGGGCCCTGGGTGTGACGCAGCCGCGTGAGGACGGGCAGGAGGTGCTCGAGCTGCTGCGGGCTGGGCCAGCACACCCTGGCCTGCCCCCGACCTCAACTCCATCTGTTTCAGGCCCCTTCGGCCACAATAGGGGCCCTGTCTGTGCCCATGTGCCAGACCCTGGGCCCTCACCAGGAACACGGGGCTCAGGGGGCAGGAGGGGTCATGGCCAGGAGGGCAGAGCCCCCAGGAGCTGCTCCAGTGGCACACCACGGCCTGTCCCCTGCTCAGCGGCCTTGCAGCCCCCCACCAGGAGGCCCTGCTGGCCTTTCAGAGAGAGCCCAGCCCCCGAGGCTCTTCCCTGAGCCGAGAGCACCCAGGTGCGTGGGGAGGCAGCCTGTGCGGGGCCTGGGCTGGAGGCAGGGGGCTGGTCCGGCTGCAGCAGGCTTGCTCTGATGGGCCAGGGCCTCGGCCCTCCCCCTGGCCTGTAGGCAGGGCGTGCACCCAGGGACCAGCACCGAGGACAGCCACTTGGGCTGCTTCCCCACGAGTCCTTGAGTGAAGCTGCATCGGACGTTGGCTCAAGCACACAGACCGGAGCGGAGGCTGCCTGGCACCCGGCCTTCGACACAGCCCTGCCCTCTTTGCTCGGCCTGCTGGTCTGTGCCCTGGAGATGACCATGGGAGGAATGAAATGAGTGGACAGTATGGTCGGCTCTGAGCACTTGGGACGAGCTGGGCACCGAGCCGCCAGCCAGCTGGGGCACCTCCAGGGGCCTTGGGGTGCGAGAAGAGAGTCATCTACAAGGGAAGCACCGGAGACCCAGAAAAGTACTGTCCGAGGTAAAGCACAGACAGCGTGAGTGCTAGGAGTATGGACGGAAGCTGCAGCCCCACGCCATCCCCACTATTCACTCTTGTTCACATCTTCTCTGGTTTGGGGGCCAGGGTTTGAACAGCTTCAGACACAGTGGGCACCTAGCTGGCTGGGCAGCTGTCATGGGGAGGGCCAACGCCTTCCTAGGGCTCCCTGGCAGCGGCAGGCCTCACAGGACGAGGAGACACACCGCGAGCAGCTTCCTGGGCGCCATCCATCATGCCACGCTCGGTCACCTCGGCGTCATGTTCCATTCTGCTTCGCCAGCCCAACACGCCAAGGTGGGGGCACAGCAGGCTGCCGGAGCCGCGCAGTGACTGCGCAGCGAGGCGTGTGCCTGGGACCGGTGTGTGTGTCTCACGACATGCAGCTGGAAATACACTTATGCTGCCTTTGTAAATCGCCACACCCGCGTGATGGATGGGCCACACGTGATGCAGCAGCATGGCGGCCGTGAAGGATGGGACACGCAGACAAGGCAGCAGGCTGTGCTTTACACCTTCTGGCGGCGACCAGGCTGGAAGTGAACCTGACCCCAGGCCTCAACTGCATCGGAGACATGTCAGTTTTAACTTTATAGTCTCAGAAGCTGCGGCTGTGGATACAAAACTCCAGCCCTCTTGGCGCTGACTGATCACCAGGAACAGACCCTTCACCGTCGCCCCCAGGAGAACGGCGTCTGCAGGCTCGCGGTGGCACGGCTGAGTGGGAGCATTGTGCGCACGGCGGTTAATTAATGTACACAGATCGCCGTGTGCAGCAGCGTGGAATCCAGCGGCATCTGTCCTCATTTGAACCGGAGCTCTGGGTTAATAGAGCCGGCTGTCAAAACAAATGTGAAGGGGGAGTCAGAGCAAGACGGTGCCTCTGTCCCTGGAAGGAGAGTGCCCAAGTGCACGGCCGCAGTGACTTGGGGCTGCACCTCCCCTGCAGCTCCAGGGGCACGTGCCAGAGCAGAGCTTGGGGCCCACACTCCGGGCCCCGGTCCCCACCCTTCCAGAGGCAGGTGCCCTCCAGCCACGAGAGCCAGAGGCTGAGGTGCGACCAGGACTGCCAGAACCTTCTGCCGCGGACTGGCTGCCCCTTCTTAGGTGCCGGGGCACGTTGGCAGCTGTGAGGCGGCCAGAGCCTACGGGGAAGCAGGCAGGGTGGGCGGCAGGCGGCTTGTGCACAGGGACGGTCACCTCTCTGTCCCCGAGGAAACCCTACCCCTCCTGCTTCCCACACCATCCCTCTCTCTGTTGGCTTTTCCCAGTCGGAGAGCGAGGAGAAGGTCGTCACCTACGACCACATCGGGCCCAGCGTCTGCATGGGAGACCACAAGGTGACGTAGCATGGCCACGGTGCGGGCTGGGCCTGAGGGGCGGGCGGGTGGCAGGGCGGGCCACTTCTTTGGCCTCTGCTACGCCCCCTTAGTCTGGCTTCCCACAGTAGGCCACGTCCATCTTTTTTAATTAAATTTTAATAAAATACCAAAGGTTGATAGGTGGATGGGTAGGTAGGGAGGTAGGTAAGAAGGCAGAAATGGCTAGTCACAATAGAATAAAATACAATATTTTTTTTACAAATAGTGAAAGTGTGTGTCTACAGCTGGTTTTCTGGAAGCCATTTCTCCAGTGTGCGTTTGAAATATTTTAATGGCCTTCCTGTGCCGCGCACAGTGTCCACAGTGTGGAACGTGAGTGTTACAGACCCAGCCCTTCAAGGAAACACTGGGTGTTTGTACACGCGATGCACCCACACTGGAGCACCACGGTCCTCACTGAGGGTCACGCTGGGCATGTCTCACCTTTGGCCAAACTAGAGATGTCCACCATTTTCAAGGCCTCTGGGCTGAGGCCACTGGAGCATCACCCTAAGACGGGTCCCAAACGGGTGCCCAGCGGGAACAGACCTGGGGACGGGTGCTCTGTCCTCCACGGTATCTGGGGCTTATTCAGCCATCCTTTAAATCAGTTTTCACATCCGTTTTTATCTGGAAATGGTACCTTCTTCACAAAACCTGGAGGCCCTCTGCCCGGGCCTCTGGCGGCCCAGCCCAGCTTCGGTCCCATTAACCGGGTTCTCCCACTGGTGCTCCGCACACGGGATGGGATGATGGCCTTGGCCCGTGCTGACCACCGCCACTGCTGGACACAGTTCAGGCTGCCCCGTCAGAGCCAGGGTGTGGGGTCGGCGGCACTCACCGTGTGGTCCTGATGCCCTCCTCTTGTCCCCGATGCAGCCCGTGTTCCTGGCCTTCCGAATCGCGCCCGGGGCAGGTAAACCTCACGCACATGTGCACAAGTGTTGTGTCGTGCAGTGACGCGGTGGTAAATATGACCCTTCCCTCAAGTTCACCTTTTCTGAGCTTTTCCTGGTGTGTTTGTTCCGTTAACCAATGACTGATTCCACGGCAGGGCGGGGACGCCCGCGACACAGGAGGACCCTCCGCGAGACCTCCCTGTAGCAGAGCAGCACACGGAAGTCGCAGACTATTGGAATCCACACTCTCAACAGCTGCATCGAGAACCCGCCCGAGCGCCACCCGCTAGACGGCCGGCCCCACACTTCGCTTCAGCCTCCGGCCCGTTCCGGAACAGCCTCACATACCTCACTGTCTCGTCTGTTCATGTGACATTAAGTAGAAATATTGGGTTTTTTAATAAGTCACAGTCCTGTTGCCAAAACTCTAATAGACAGCAAAGAGATTCTGTATTTTAGACTTCACAGTTTTCAATTTTTAATAATTGTCAGCCTGGAGGAGCTTCTCTGTGTAGAAACCCCACAGGTGTCCAGCGTCCCCCCTGCCAGCTGGAGGCGTGCCGGGCAGGGTGGCGGCCGGCCTCTTTGCTGACTCAGGCAGCGTGGCCACGCCGGCAGAGCGAGGGGCCCCTCCTCGTCACTGGGATGGCTCCCCTTCCTTAGTTACTGTACTGCCATGTCACATGGTCTTTGAATCACACTGCAGCTGCTTTCCATTTTTATATATATAAATATATATAAATATATACTTTTTAAGAATAATTTATAAATCTTACCAAAACTTATGCTAAATATACTTTCCAGTGCGATTGCCCGTGCGCGTCCTGTCAGCAGGTGGGAGTGGCGTCGGAGCTGCGTGTCGTCCACAGACCTGTGCACACGAGGAGACCCAGCGTGCCGTCCTGGGGGACCGACCGCAGCCAGCGCGCGAGCCCGGGACCCCTGCCTCCCCTCTGTCACGTTATGAACTGAATGTGAAGCTGATAGCTAGCTCGGGTGTACCTTTTAAGAATTTTGTAAACTGTTTTGTCTGTCTTTTGTTACTGTTCTATGGTGCCAAGTATTCTACATAAAACAATAATATCCTGGGAGAAATAAAGTAGCCTAGTCTGCTTCCGATAGAAACTGCTTTTAACATGGGCTGTATATAAAACTATTAAGAGAAACAAAACTGTAAATGTCCTTGGTTGCCAGCTGCAAACAACCTATGTCATAGCCTCGCTGCAGCCTCCCCTCTCAGCACTAAGGACGGCGTTGAAAGGCCATGGCAGAGCCTGCGAATGAAACACAACCTATGTTTATTGATTCGCTTTAGAACACTACAGGAGTCCTGGACGGGCGAGGCCTCGGCCGGGCGTGTATTGGATAAAGCACTACCACTGCAGGTGTCGGTGTCCACTTGCCGGATCTGTGTTCTTGACAGCTTGATGGGGTCCGTGTCCGTGCTCTGGTCACTGCTCTGTCCACGGGCCGCACGGCAGTCTGCCCCACGGCGATTCTGTTTAACGGGGTTTCAGCTGTCGCTCACTGTGGAGGCCTTGAGAAAGGACTGCTCCGGTTCCTAAGCAATAAAATTGATGGTGGTGAAGACAGTTCTGGTTTGCTTTCTCTTCCTTCCGTCACTTCCCCTCCCCCGACAGGCACAGGGACGGCACTGTGCTCCTTGGGAATCTGGAAGTTTCATTCTACCAGATATTGTTACACAAGACTAACCATTAGTTAAAGCAGAAAAGTCATCTTTTGGGTTTTGTACTGTAACTAGTGGGATTTACCCCTCAGCATTTTTAAGTGAGATGATATATAAATACAGTTTCTCTCAAAACTTTAAAACTGGAAATCTCTTTGCTCTTAACTTGAGCAGAGTGAATAGTTCACTCACAGAAATAAAATAAATTTTAATATTTATTAATATATATTCCTTTAAAAAGAAAGCCAGCCAGTGATTCTGGTTTTTAAGTTGATGGTGCAGCCATGTAGTGAAAAAAACAAAACACTTCGGCCTTTTTACATTTCGCACATTCTCAACAATGCCTTCCAAGAGAAATCTTATAGTGACAATCATTTTTTAAAAGTCAACCGTTACACCCATTAAGATGCAACCAGGCGGGGCATCAGCCACGGAGAGTCTGGGACAGGTCCGATGGTCTGTTGTGAACGAGAAATGCAGTCTGGGGTTCGCGGGTGAGAAAGCAGGCTAGAGCGGGGGGGTTGCCGGCCTCCGCGCTCGGGGCTCCGGTCTCCGCGCTCAGGGCTCCGGCTGCGCCGCGGGCTCGGTCCTCGCGGATCCCGAGGCGCCGCGCTGCTGCGGGGCGGAGGGGCCCGGGTCCCCGCGGCGGGGACCATCCTCCCCAGGACGCCGGCGCAGCCGAGTGTGCTGACCCCGGCGGGGAGAATTGTTTTGGATTTCTCTTTGAGTCCCAGGTAAATTAAATAGCGTTTTCTACCCATGAAAGCTCTCTAAATCGGTAGCTGGAGGGCCGCGGTGCAGAGGACTTGAAACCTGGTCTATTTCGCCCGAGGTGAGCGTTTTCAGGTCTGCTGTCTAAGGCGTTTTTAGACGCCTGTAATCGGGTCACAACCTGCCCCGTCCCCGGGTCGCGGAAAAGAGGGCCACACGGGCGGCCCACCTGCCCTGTCGGGGCCGAATGTGCTTCAGTCCGCCCCCAAACCCGTCCTCCTAGCCGGCACCGCAGCGCTCCGAGCGGCTGTCCGGGGCTGGGGCCGCGGGAGGCCCCCGAATCGGAGGGGAAAGGTGAAGGGGGGCCGTACCTGCTGCCGCGCGTCGCACCTGCCGGCGCCCCGCTCGGTCCCCGCCGTCCGACTCTGCCCGCGCGGCCGCCGCTGCGTCCTCGTCCCTGCGCCACCGCCCGGGCCGCGGGGAGGGGCCATCGCGCCCGCGGCCGCCCAGCCCGCCGCGCCGGACCCAGGTGACCCTCTGGCCGAAGGCGCGGGCTCTGTGAGGACGAAGACTGGACAGGGGACACGGAACGGGGACCGGGTACGAGGACAAGAGACCGGAGACGGGGACAAGGGACGGGGGACGGGCCCCGCCTCCCGCCGGGCCGCGCAGGGCGCCTCGCCGGGTTTTCCGTAAGAGACACGCGGTGCAGCCTCGGGAGCCCGGCTCCGACGGGACGTGTTAAATAATTTATTGATCATACAAAGTGATTCCGCCGGTCCTGCGCCGAGCCCGAGCCCGGCCGTCGTGTAACTTATTCTGTAAAAATATATATGCACGCGCCGCTCCGGTGCGGGCGCGGGGCGCGGGCAGCTGCGAACCCCGGGGGCTCGGCCGCGCGTCCTCACGAGGCGTCCCCCGCGCCGCCGCCGCACGGGCTGACCAGCGCCAAGTTCGAGGGTTTGTGCTTCTTGAGCAGCCGCGTGATCTTCTCGTCGTCCGAGTTGGGGTCCAGGGGCCGGTTGTACTCGTCGTCGTCCTCCGCGTCCGAGCCGCCCACCTTCAGCTTCTCGGCGTCCGAGTCCTGCTTCTTCTTGGCCGACGCCATCTCCGCCGCGTGCCGCTTGCGCCACTTGGTCCGGCGGTTCTGGAACCACACCTGGGGCGGAGGGTGACCGTCAGCCGGCGCCTCCCGAAGCGCCCAGGCCTCTGCAACGCGGCCCCTCGGCAGTCCCCGGCCGTGACCCCGCCGCCCGCGTGGACGCGGAGGGACGCCCGCGGCCAGCACTTCGGTCCCGGCCGCAGAGCAGCGGCGCCTCCCGGGCGGAGGCCGAGGCCGGCGGCCGCTCGCAGACCGTTCGCAGGACGCGGGGGCCGTGTCTGCTGGGCGCGGCGGGACCCGCGGAGGCCGCCTCACCTTGACTTGGCTCTCGGTCATGCCCAGGGAGTAGGCGAGGCGCGCCCGCTCCGGCCCCGCCAGGTACTTGGTTTGCTCGAAGGTCTTCTCCAGCGCGAAGATCTGCTGGCCCGAGAAGGTCGGCCGCGAGTGCTTCTTCTTGCCGTCCTTGTCCAGGACCCCGCCGGCCTGGGCTGCAAGGGAGGGCGGGTGAGCGCAGCCGGTGGCCCCACCGCCCCACGCCGGACCCCGCGCGCGCCACTTACCCGGGCCGGCCAGGCGCGGGTCCCTCCAGGGCGAGCCCTGCACCACGCCGGGCCAGAAGATGGGCGGGCGGCCGGGCAGCTCGGCCAGTGGCTTGGGATAGCCGCGCGCCACGGCGGCCGCGGGCCCGAAGTAGACGCCGGCGGACGAGGCGAGCCCGTTGAGTCGGGGCAGGCCGCCCAGGAGACCGCCGCCCGCCGCGCCCACGGGCCGCCCCAGGATGTCGCTGATGCCATGCGGGGTGCCGAGCGGCAGCTGCGCGCCAAGGCCGCCCAGCGCGGGCGCCTTGAAGCCGGCCGGGCCCTGCAGCGCGTACGGGAACAGAGACGTCTTCATCTCGGCCATGTTGTGCAGCGCGGCCAGCGGCGCGCTGCTCAGCACGAACGCGCCCGGGCGGTTAGCGTCCATGGGCGCCGCCGCCGCCGGCCCGAGTGCCCATCCGGGCCCCGCCGCCGCCCGCCGGCCGGGAAGTTCGCGGGGCGCAGCTGCAGCGGGGGCGCGGGGCGCGGGGCGCGGGCGCCGACGGCCCGGAGGGAGGGCGGGAGGGCGGCGGGCCGGCGTGGGCTGGGCGGTGGCGGGCGGGCGGACGGACCGACGGACGGACGGCGGGCGGCGGTGGCGGCAGCGGCTCCGGGGCCGGTCGGAGCGGCGCCGCGCGGGTCGGACGCGCAGATAACCGCGGGGCCCCGGGCGGCGCGCGCGCTGATTGGCTCCCGGTGCCGCGGCCCCGCCATTGGCCCGCGCCCCGCCCGCCCGCCCGCGGCCCGCACTCCATGAAGCGCCCATTAGCGCGGCAGGTGCCTCCCGGGCTGTAAATTTGCCCCCTGATTTATCTCCCCGGGGACGAAATAAATCCCGCTGGATGGGAGTTTAGTTAGGCAAAGGTTTTAATGGGAAATCAGGAAAAAATACGAGAACATATTTTATCGCCCGAAAGAATGCAGATTTGAGGATCCACTCGGCACGCTCCGTGCGCCCCGTTCGGGGAAGAGCCCCAGCGGGCGGGCGGGCGCGGGGAGCCGGCCGGCGCTATCGGGGGACACGGCCGCCCCGGGGTCGGGTTTGGGGGAGCACAGCAAACGTTTTCGGGAGTACTCTCCGGGATGCAGATGGGCCTCAGAGTCAGCGGGCAGACCAGACTGGGCCCGCGCGAATCTGGTCCAGTTTCACTGACAAACGGCTCGTGGTGGCCAGGCCTGTCCCGGGGCCACGCGCCAGGACGCCGACTCGCGCGCGCTGCCGGGCGGGCGGTTCCCTGTCGCCTTGTCCCCTCCCAGCCCGTAGGACTGTCCTCTGCCGGGTCGGGGCACGGGGACGGCCCTGGCCTCCCGCTTGCTCGGGCATTTTCCGGTCGCGAAGTCGCAGCTCGGTTCCCAGATGGCAACCTGAGCCCCCAGCTTCACCCCGGCCCCATGATCCAGCCCACGGACCGTTCCCTCGTGAAGCGCAGCCTGAGCCAGGAGAACGGGGACCCGCGCAGGCTCAGAGCCCAACCTAGGCCGTGTGGGCGCCAAGTTCAGGGCCTCATCGTGGGTGCGCGCCCGAAGAGCAGCAGGCAGAAGCGCGACGTTCAGACGGGCATGTGGGCCCACGGTGTCCTTCTCTGGGTACAAAAAGCCCCCCACCCCGTAGAATGGCTGTGGGGGTCCAAGTGAGATCGCGGTGGACTCCGCGCCGGCGGAGAGCGGGCGCTGGGTAAAATGCGGGGCGTCGTCGCCTTCCTCCTCTTGGGTGGTGTCCCATATTAATTAAGTGACGCCTATCACTATTATTCGCTGCCCGTTGGGAGCCGTGAGCCGACCGTGCGCGGACGGACTGCCGGTTCGTGGCCGGGGGGGGCGGTGTGCGTTAGGCCGGCCTCTTGCGGGCCTGGTGTGGTTCGTTAGCAACGACTTTCCCGGTTCAACCTGACCACCAGGGTTTTGGTGGCGCGGACGAAGGCGACCCTGGCGGCTCTGTGCAGGGAACCAGCGTCCGCTCGCACCGCTACCCTCGGGTGTCCTTTTTCGTTTTGTGCAGTTAGCTACAGGGTCGTAGCTCTGCGGGTCCCTACGCCAGATCGAGGCTCCGACAGCCCCTGGCCGGCCGGGCTGGGCGCGCATTCGGTGGTCGTCCCTGCCTCGCGTGTGCTCCCACTGTGCTGCCCTGGGCGACGCGGCGTGGCGTATGGGGCCGCCTGCTTCGTGTGCAGTGCAGCCCCGCGCGCGTGGGGGTTTCTCTCTCCCCGCTTCTTCGTCCGGGGCCACACTCGCGGGATCCGGGTGTAGCTGCCCCGCAGGCGATCGGCCCCGGTGGAGCCAGGCCCGGGACACTGAGCGTGACCCTCCTGGATTCCCGCGCTGCGTGTGGCCCTGGGTCGGCCTGGCTCAGACACCCGCCTCGTCCTCGCTCGCGTCCCCCTTCCTCGGAGGAAACAGCGCGTGTGCGCCCCGAGAGCCCGCCCGCAGGGAGAAGCTTCGCCCGCAGGGTTTGGGCCCCTCTGGGCTCCCCGGAGGCGGCAGCACAGGCGGCCTAGGCTCGGGCTCTGCTGGGAGCCGCTGCGGGCTTGGGGCGGGGCCAGAGGGGGCGGAGCAGAGCGGAGTGGGAGGGGCGCGGCCGGCTCCGGCCTCTGACCCCCTCTGCGATACAGAGCGGACCCCGGGCGGCAGCGGCCTGACGGTCGTCTGGAGGGAGCCAGAAGGGGCGCACCTGGGTGGGACGACAGGGGCGCGCTACCCTCCCGAAGGGTCCCTGCGACACTGGCTCCGAGGCGGGAGGAAGGCCGCAGCTCCGGGCGCCGCGCTTTGGTTCCTTGCACTACGCGGCGGGGGCCTCCCCAGCCCTTTTTTTACAGCTGAGGAAACAGATCCCGAGTCGCTGCTCCGCGCCCCAGCAACCCCACACCCCTGCCCGGGTCTGTCTACGCCGGGTCTCCCCTGAGCAGCGACCCGAACGCTTAGAGTCGCTAGTGAGGCTGCCGTCTCCACTGCCCGCTGAGTGCGCGGCTCTCCAGAGAGCCAAGGGCCGTAGGTGTGGGATGGGGTGCTGGGGTGCGGTTTGAGGGAACCGGGGTGAGTTGGGGGAGCAGGGGCTGTGGAGCGACAGCCGCTCTTTTCCAAGTTGTTCTGGCCGTAGGCGTCTCCGTGCGCACCCCAGGCGCAGTCGTGCCCGGCGCCCCGGCGCTCCCCACTCTCCTGGACCCGCGGCGCGGTCCCCTCCCCTCAGCGCCCCGGGCCCGGTGTATAAAGGCTTGTTAACGCCCTTGTCCTCCCCACCCGCAGTCTCCAGGCGCTCCTCTGGGGCCCGCGCCCTCTCCACGCCATACCTGGGGCTCCCACCCGCACCTCCTCCTCCTGAGTCCCCAGGCGCCGCCCCTCCCGAGGATCGAAAGAAATGCCCCTCCTCCAGGGAATGTCCGGGGGCCGCCTGCCGGGAAGGAGCGGCTCTGGGCTCCCGGCGCCCGGGCTGGTTCCGCCAGAGTGGAGAGGTTCGCGAATGCCACCTCCTGGTCTGGAAGAAAAGCTGCAGATGACGGGGGCCGGCGCTTCTCGGCTCAAACATCTGTCTTCGGAAAGCGGAGAGAGCGCCGTTTGGCAGAGACCTTTGATCATTCGATGTTTATTTATCTGCACCTACTATGTGCCTGGCGCGCCCTCGGAGACCCACGTGGCCGCGGATCACCCGCGGGAGCCGCGGACGAGAAACAAGAACACACGGCCCTTCAGCGCGTGCCCGCAGACGGGGCAGGACCCTGGATGAGGGCTTGGGGGGCGTGGTCAGGGAGGGTGGAGGGCCGGCCAGGGTCAGCAGGTGTCTGAGCCCTAGGCGGGTCAGAGCCCGGGCTGGGGAGGGGACGGGAGGGCGGGTCCGAGGGGCTTGCACCTCGGAAAGGAGCTGGGATTCTACCTCCGACCGCACAGGAAGCCGCTGAGTGCAAAGACCTTATTGGCGAAGTGGGGATTTGTCCCTGAGCTGCCACCTGCCCGCGCCACCCTGCTGTGGTCCCGGGGCTGCCTGGCACAGGGCCCTGGTTTGCCTGCCCACTGGGAGTCGTTTTCAATCTCCGAGCAGATGAGGCGCCCAAACGCGGCTTTGGGTTCAGGGGACTGCTAACCCGGCGTCGGTGGGCATGAAGGAGAGAGACCCTTGAGGTAACCTGATGTCAAACTCAAGGCGCCCCCCATCCCGGGGCTGGGGGGGAGGTGAAAGGGAGGGGGGCGGACACCAGGACCCCTGAGGGGTGGGGCTCAGGGGAGGCCAGGTGCACAGGCCAGTCCTGGAACCTCCGAAGGAAGTGGGCTGGAGCAAATCCCACCCTCCTGGGCAGATGCCCCCCCCCCCCCCCCCCCCCCCCGCCAGGATCCGCAGCCCAGGCAGAGGAGGGAGGGACTGTTTGAAAGGCAGTGGGCACTGAGCGCTGAGGCTGGGAGGGGCACGGATGGGTGGGGAAGGGAGGCCCAGCTGGTCACCCTGGCCCAACGTGATCCCTTCTCCCACCTGCGATATTGCCTGGTCAGCCTGGACACTCCAACTCGGTCTCATCCCCATGTCATAACCAGTGTGCATCAGATGGAGGCCCACAGCGGCCTGTCCCAGCCCTCTCTCGCCACCCTTCTGACCCTGCAGTGGTCAGGTCCGGCTCCTGGACCACTCTCCCCTATCTCTGCGTGACTCACTTTCTCCTTCATCAGGTGTGGGCTGCACACCACCCTCAGCCTTCTGCTTGCTGACCTGCCCCTCTGCAGCGCTGCTCCTGCTGAATGTGCTTGCTGATGCGATCGTCTCCTCCGAGCATGTCAGCATCCAGGTGCAGGGAGCCCACGTGCTCAGGGCCCGTCGGGACTCACTGAACATTCCTGGAAGAAGGAATGAACGTGACCCCAAGCCCCTGCTTCAGAGGGTTTCTCAGAGCCCCGTGTTGGGGTTGGGGGGTATTCTGTGCTCCCCTAGGAAGTGGGCACCACTAAGGAGCCTCCAGGCATCCTGAGCCAAAGGGCATCATGGAGGTTCGCAGGACCCTCTGAAAGAGACTTTCTGTGCCAAGCAGCATCCCCAGGAAGATTCAGGCAAGGCCCTGGGAAGCTGGGCCCCTCGGCGGGGGGGAGACCCCGGAGGTGTGCTAGGGAGGGGGCTGAGGGCTGAGCCCCCATGGCCCACCCCTCCCTGGCAGGCAGCAGTCTGGACAGCAGTCGGGGCCCAGGGGCGTGGGACCTAGTTGCAGGGGGGCAGCTCCCCCTGAACTCTCCAGTGGACCCCCTCCCCCTTGCCCATCCTCCACAGACCTCTGGCTTTGAGGGACCTGACGATCACGCCCAGCCTAGGTCAGGGCCTAGCGCTTCCCACCTTTCAGAGCTCTCCCTGCAAGGCTGCTGTGCCCCGTGCCTCGCCCCCACCCCCCACCCCCGCCTCCGGCGCCTTTTATTTTCTTAAAGTTGTTTATTTTGGTAAATGTAATATCCACAGAAAGTATACATAACACAAGCTCTTGTCATCCAAACCCAAGTTCCTGCCATCATTTTGCCCGACTGGCTTTGCCTTTCTTCTCACTGTGGGGACGCGGCTGCCACAGCGTTGAGGTCTGGGCAGACAGTTTCATGGAGGCCTCGATCCCCAGTCCGCACCCTCGCTACCCTCCCAGAATGCCCTGGGTGTACGGGCTCCATGCAGGTACCGAGCGGGCAGGACTCCTGACCTGACCCTACGACTGGGTCTGTCATTCCCCGCTGTGAAGACATGTGTCTACAGGCCCTCGTAGCTGCTGCAAGGCACCCACATGCGAGTGTCCGCCTCGTGCTGATGGTGTCCAGGTGCTTTTGCTCACTTCTCAGGCCAGCTTCTTCAGAGGCGGGGCACCTCCCACCTCCCAGCCCCGCCAAGGCTCACCTGGGCAGCCCAGTCTGATGTGCAGTCTCGGGTTCTCAATTTCCTGACCTCTGTGATTGGGAGGGCATTGACCACGCACCCGCCCCCTCCGGGCAGCACATCTGGTCTTCCTCCCTCTCGGGCCCTCTTTCTTCCTCTCCTTCCAGGACCCACCCCAGGTCTGCACGGCAGTCTCCACGTGGGCACCCCACAGGCACCAACCCACCCGGGGCCCAAACTGTGTGCCAAGAGCTTGAATGAATGAGTGGCTGAATGAACGACTGTCCAGCAGAGGCCATTTGGAGCTCAAGGAGGGAAAGTCGGACGTGGGTCTGGTCCCAGCCAAAGGACGTGACGAACATGAACCCTGCCCCCCCAATGACCCCAACCTCCATCTCCCCCCACCCACCCACCTGCCCTCCCCTCTTTAGGAGCCTTTCCCAGTGCTTGCTGTTTTGTTCAACTTTCCTGCTTCTGAGAGGCGCCTGACTCTTGGTTGGAGACCTGTGGCCGCCTGTCCCCCACAGCCACAGCCGAGCGGGGCCAGGCGAGGGCTCTGGCCCCCACTACATGCCCAGTGAGCGGGACCACCTCTCCCCCTGGCTGAGGAGGGCCCAGCTGGGGTGATGCTGCCTCGGGGCCTTCTCACCCTGCTAGCCCCCCACCCCCAGCCCCACCCCGTGCTGGGGGAAGAAGGGAGTCAGGTGAGGGGAGGACGGGGCCGCTACCCAAATCACACAAGGGGCTCCTCAAGGAGGAGTCCAAGGCTGAGGGTGGTGGTCACACAGGCCTCAGAGTGCCCCAAGAATCCTGTCTCCTTCAGGAAAGGACGAGGAGAGGTGGCCATAAATCACCGCTCAGCTAATTCCCCAGGGCCTCGCGGGCACCAGATGTGCGGCCGCGGGTAATGAACGCTCTCCGGGGGCTGCTCTCCGGGGGTGTCTGACCGCGTGCCAAACGCACTAATTGAGCGCCGAGTCCAAGATTTGTGTTCAGGCTCCTGCTCCGCCACCTTCACTGTGCTCCCAGGATGGGATCCCAGCCTTGCTGGCCAGGTGAAAGCTTCCGGAAAGGCTCCCGGCTACACTCCAGTTGGGGGCTAGCCCGCTGTGGGGCTTCCTGGCAGGTGAGGGGGTCAAGCTGTGCCATGACTAGCACCCCCCAGGCATGAGCAGCCTCTCCGGTGCCCCTTCCTGACGATGTCTGGACAGGAGCCCAGGCCCCCGGTGCCCAGAAGCCTTGGCTACCATGGCCACGTGGGAGGAGCTGCCCCGTCATGCAGCCGTCTCTGCCCCCCTGCAGGCGTGGCCTGTGCTCTCTTGGCTTGAACCCCTCTATCCACTTATCCCTGGACTTCAGTAAATGCCCATGGGGAGAGGGGAGAGCGGGGTGCTCCTCTGAGCGGGAGGCCCACGGCACCCAAATTACCGAGAGTCTGACAACTGCGCACGTTGGAGATATTTACACGCCGATCGATGTGCTGCCGCCGCCACTGCTGCGCTGCCGGGGCCCTGCGAGCCGTAAAGGGGGGAGGGCCCGCTTCCCAGAAGCCCTGAGGGCTGGGAGAGAGCTGGAGCAGCAGGCACACGGGGACAGGGGAGGCGGGGCCCGGAGTCCAGCGGGGCGTTGGGTTCAGTCTCCAGGGGAGGAACTGTCTATGATGAGAGCCAACCTGCACGTTTACAGGGTCACAGGGCCGCAGGGTGGAGGGCTGGACCCCAGCCGGGACGTGGTTTCAGGCAAGAGCCGTGGGGTCCCCTGGCCGGCTCCTGGGGGGCCAGGCGTACAGGGAGCTGGTCTAGGGGAAGACTGTGTGAGGGGCGTTTGCTTGGACCTGGTGCCCTGTCCCCAGGGTCTGTGAGGGGAACAGTCAGGCTCTGGAGACAGGCTCTCTGACTTACGGGGGATATGTCTGCTGCGTGAGTCAGGGCGCACCCCACATTCCTTGTAATGCATGAGGGGCTCCGGCCCCGTTGCGGCCACCACTGCCTGGCCAGTCTGCCTGTCTGGGCGGTGGGTTCAGCAGGGCTGGGGAGGGAGGGAGCTGGGCCCCGTGGTCTGGTCTGGCACACGAGCTCCAAGAGCTCAGAGGCTGTGTGCACTGCCAGGCCCAGCAACCCCTCCCTGCCCCGGGGCTGGGGAGCGGGCACCCCAGCTGCTGGTCTGCAGGGGCCTGTCAGCAGCTGCACTTTATAGCATGGCTGGCCAGTCTCTTCCCACTAAGGGCCCGCCCCAGACAGTTCCCAAGTGCCCCCGCCACGCTTCCCGGTGCCACAGCCTCCCAAGCCTGGATCCACATTTCGAGTCCCCCCAGGGAGGGCCCACTAGAGAATGCGGGTGGCTGGAGGGCACCCGTGAGAGGACGAGTCCCTGAGGAGGAGGTGTGAGGCCCGTTTCCCCTCCAAGGTGGGAACAGGCCCTGCCCTGAGTGGTCCTGGGGGTGTTCCTCTGCAGCCCCCTGCTCGCCAATACAGGCCAAGAGAGAGCCCCACCCTGCCTGGCCTGGACACTCAGGGGTATCCCTGGCACACAGGGGCATCCCGGACACACGGGGTGTTCTGGGCACACAGGGGCGTCGAGGGCACACAGGCATCCTGGGCCCGCAGCAGTGTCCTGGGCACGCAGGGGCGTCCGGGGCCCTCAGGGGCATCTTGGGCCCGCAGCAGTGTCCTGGGCACGCAGGGGCGTCCGGGACCCTCAGGGGCATCCTGGGCCCGCGGCACTGTCCTGGGCACGCAGGGGCGTCCGGGGCCCTCAGGGGCATCTTGGGCCCGCAGCAGTGTCCTGGGCACGCAGGGGCGTCCGGGACCCTCAGGGGCATCCTGGGCCCGCAGGGACTCAGGCTGGGAGCTCTGGGGCCTCCAGCAGTGGCAGAGACTAACTGACTACAGAAAGCGGCTCTGCCCCTCAGGGACATCCTTGCTGGCTCCCAGGCAGGACAGCATTCTTGGCATCTTCAGTGAAATGATGGTTGTCAGAAATGTGAGTGGAAAGCAGTTTTGTTTTCAAACCAAACTTTATTGTTCCAGTTATGAAGATGGCAGACACTTACTGTAAAACACTGAACAAAGTGAAAAGAGTAAACATCCCCTCATGTCTCAGCACCTGGGATGTCCTTCGGCCATGGTGTGGTGAGCATCCTTGCTAACCTCTCTCCCTTCATTCATTCACTCATTCACTGATCCATACAGGTGCTTAATGAGCACCGGCCCTGTGCCCACTACTGCCCCAGGATGGGGGACAGCGACCTCCAAGGGCAGAGCGCCCATGTTGGGGGGTCTCACTGTTTAAGAGACCCTCACATGCACATTACTCACAAGTTTGCTCCCCTTCGCTCTGCACCGTGAGGCAGGCGTCTTCACGTCACTGTTCACAGCCACTCCGTCTTGTGGGTGGACCGTGGTTTACAGACCCAGCACCTGAGGTTTTCCCAATTTTTCACCTTTAGAAGTCGGACTGTGACGCCCCTGGTACACGTGGGGACCTCTGACTCCTTGTTGGACGACTTCCTGCGGGTTGGGCCGCCTGCAGTTTGTGTCGTCCTGGCAGACACACTGCCCTTCTGTCGTCTCATTGTGTGTTTTGCTCTCCACCGCTCCCGTGCTCCCCTCAGTCCTGTCATTCATCATCGCGTGGCTTTTTCTTCTTCCTCTGCGCTGCATAGAGGGTATGGGCCAGGAGCTGCCCCCAGAAGTCCTAGGAGGTCCCGGGGAGGAAGGCGGGCGGTTTGTGTGTGACGTACACACGCATGTGAATGGACAATGTGGCCAGACAGTAACATCTCCACGGTTCAACTCCAGACCGAGCCACAGAGCACAAGGCTGGAAGTTACAGGTGTCCCGAGGACAAACACCAAAATGTTTGGAGTCAAAAATGGCAGAAATGCATAAAGAAGAAAAAGAAACCAACTGTGGCCGTGAACTTCCACTCACCTCCCTGTCATGACAGCCGAGCCAGATGTGGGGCCGGAAGAATATACCCTCAATGTTTCGGATCTAATAAACATATCAAATTCTCTGTCCTGAAACAGAGACATGACACGGTTACAAGAGTTGACCGTACGTTATTCACAAAGAGAATATCGATAGTTTCACCAAAGTAGACACATTGCTTATCTTCTGGGGGCCGAGGGACAGGGGGTGGGTTCACGTCTGAAGTGGGAGCTGCCCGTGGAAACAGGCGGAGTGGAAACCTGCCATGACAGCCTCGCTAATATAATAGCGTTCTGAAAAATGTGTGTGTCATTTCATTAAATAGATTAATGTCATCTCATCATTAAATATATGAGCATTTTCTCAGAGAAGAAGCCTGCAAGTGCTTGTGGGCACCGAGCCCTCCTCCGGAGGGGGCCTGGTGAGGGAGCGAGGTCAAGCTCGAATTTTCTTCTCTGTGTTCTCTGGTGCACTTTGCTTTTTGTCCTATGAGCACGGATTACTTTTATTAATAAAAACAATAAAGGCCTGCAGTTCAGGAAATGAGAGCAGCACAAGTGGGACGTGTCACCACAACTGATTCCCAGTGTCCGGGAGTTCCTGGAAGCATCATGTCTAAGCTCTGAGACCAGTCTCGCTGGGGTTAGGGAAGCTCAGAGGCACCCGCCCAGTTGCTGTCACCATCGGTCCCTGGTGCGTGACAGGGCGGCGTGGGGCTTTTCCCAAGGGAAGCACTGGGCTGGAGGCAGCCAGGTCCAGAGGGAGCAGCGTCGCTGTCAGGGCTGCGAACGATGGCATCATTACAGACCGCGCCTCTGCAGGAATTTCAGAAGACGACGAAGAAAAGGGGGATCTGTTGTTACTGTTAGAGATGGGGCAAGGAGGAGAGAGAGCTCCTCCTGCCAGATTCAGAGGAAAAGCACAGTTGCTTGGATTTTTAACAGCGATTCTTCCCCAAGGACTTAAGATGCCTGATTATATGTACGTTTCTGTCCCTGACCCACGTTCCCACGACATCCTGCGGCCTCAGTCACATCTCTCGTTCTGCTGGCCTCCCCCTCCAGTTTACAGAGAAGCTGATGGCGTGTTCCACTTTATAAACACGAAATATTCTAGATCCAACTGACTGATATGCCTCATCTACCCCTGGGGGAAACAAGCAGATTATCAGGTCTAATAAAATTTTATTGGTGTGAAATCCTTTTCCAGTTGGCTTTTAGAAATAATATTAATCTCTTAACCACTTATATACCTGTAGAAGTAAGAAAACTTTAAAAAGTAAAAAGAAATCACTCCTTGTGCTGTAAATATGTTGCCTCTCTGAATTTTTTTTCTTGCTAAAGCTGTAGCTCAGAAAACAGTGTCACTGTGACTTGAATTAATGTCTTTGATTACTAGGTTACAAGAAAAGGAGCAAAACTTACTTTTGAACAAGTTAAATGTTTTAACACCCGAATTGAATTGTCAGGAAAAAGTTCACATCCCGTTCTTAACCAAGATGCCTCTCTGGACAGATGACGCTGATTGAATAAGTTTGCTGTAAAAGTCCTGTGTGTCTTCTCCCATCTGTGCCGTGTAAAACACTGTCAGCACACTGTTCTGATTTATGCATGTTCGGTTATTTTTTTCGTTAACAGCCTAATTATGTGACTTCCTGAATGTCCTCTCCTGGGATGGCGTGTCAGAAGGATCCGGTTAGGGCCGTGTTTTGGGCTGTGCTGATGGACGGGCAGAGGCGTCTGTAGGCAGAGGGGTTGCACATCTTCCCCTGGGAATCCAGTGGGGAGGTGGCCTGAGGTCCCAGAGGGGGCTGCCACTCTTGGTGGGATTCCAGGCTGGGCGTGTCTAGGAACCAGGCCCTGCTTCACAGCCTGTGTGAGTGGCGACGTAGGTCAGCGTGGGCGTGGGCTCATCCTAAGGACTGGGCCCGGAGGGCTGGCTCCAGTCAAGCCGTCCCTGGAGTTCCCGCTTTTGCTGCTGTGCATTCGAAGGGCTGTGAAGAGCATCCAGCAGCGAGCCTGGGAAGTGGCTGCTGTGAGGAGAGGCGAGGGGGCTGGCGGCCGTCCCCACCGTGGACGAGGCCCTGGCTGCTCGGCTGCTGGCCCGGCTCTTGGCGCCCAGCTCCTGCCGTGTGTGCCTGGAGCTCTGGCCACTTGGGCGGAGACTTAGAGACAGGACACTTCCCATTCATGAGTCACCTGTGGACAGGTCACACGGCCACCAAATGGGGAGCTTGGGCAAGGCCAGGCTGGTCGGGGAGAGAAACCAGCAGGGAAGTGGTTCTAGAGCTTCTGTGGGGTCACACAGCCACCTGCTGAATCACCCAGAGGCTGAGGACAGTGTGAGAGGCAAGCCCAAGTGGTATGGCGCATGGGGGAGGAGAGAGGCCTGGGGGCCAGAGCCCGTCAGAGGGAGGACGGCCCAGTGCGTGGCCTAGGGCAGGACAGCCCACCTGAGCCCAGGGCACCTCACGTGAGTCCAGGACTCCTCACCTGTGCCCGGGACACCTTATCTGAGCCCAGGACCCCTCACCTGTGCCTGGGACACCTCATCTGAGTGCAGGACACCTCACCTGAGCCTGAGACCCCTCATCTGTGCCTGGGACCCCTCACCTGAGCCCAGGACCCCTCACCTGTGCCTGGGACACCTCATCTGAGTGCAAGACACCTCACCTGAGCCCGGTACCTCTCACCTGAGTATGGGCTTTGATCCTGTGCAGGCTGAAGGTTGCTCTCTTCACCGTTATGAGAGACTGAAAATGGGCACATTTGATGCCAGAACAATGTGTAAAATGTTAGTGGGGTGAAATGTATCACAAAGGAGACACAGCAATAAATGGAAAACTGGGAAGGATGTTTCAAAGACGGAAGAAAATTAGCATTCATATTATACAAAGAACTAGAAATTAAAAACAAAAAGAGAAGGCCAGCACCAGTGGATGGTGGTTAAGTTCACCATGCTCCGCTTCTGTGGCCCAGGTTTGGTTCCCAAGCATGGACCTACACCACTCGTCTGTCATGCTATGGCGGCAGCTCACATACAAAAAGAGAAAGATTTGCAACAGATACTAGCTTGGGGCTAATCTTCCTCAGCAACAAAACAAAACAAAACACAAAAAGATAAACCCAATAGAAGAAAAGGACAAGTCATGACTAAGAAACTCACAGAACAGGAAATCCAAATGGCCACCAAGTACATGAAAGGATGCCCAACCCACCAGGTGAGGAAATTCATTAAAATCAGCAGGGATGTCCCACCCGCCATGGCAGCCCTGGGCCCACCTGCACCCACCTGTCCCCACCGCCCGGCTCAGTGGCTTTGCCTGGGGCTCCAGCTCCAGCTTATCGGGGGGGTAGTTCTGAGCCCAGGAGCGGCTTCAAAGAGGATGTTTCCCAGGGGGCTGGCCCCGTGGCTGAGTGGTTAAGTTCGCGCGCTCCGCTGCAGGCGGCCCAGTGTTTCATTGGTTTGAATCCTGGGCGCGGACATGGCACTGCTCATCAGACCACGCTGAGGCAGCGTCCCACATGCCACAACTAGAAGAACCCACAACGAAGAATACACAACTATGTACCGGGGGGGCTTTGGGGAGAAAAAGGAAAAAATAAAATCTTTAAAAAAAAAAAAAAGAGGATGTTTCCCGGGGTTCCAGGCTTGGGCAGGATGGTCCCTTGTCTCAATCTGGCTTGATGGGTTCAAGTACCCTAGTCCCTCTGTGCCCCCAGCCCAGAGCTGGCTTGGAGCAGGTGCCCAGGAGAAGGGGAGGGGAAGAGGGGCGTGGGGGCCCTGATCTCGGGGCTCCGGGCAGAGGACATCCGCCTGCACCTTATTATCTTCACGCCATCTCTCGTCTCTTGTCACAAAGAATTAAAATCTATAATAAGAAAATTTAAGAGCTCCCCTGTAATTTGGCCCATCAGCTCCATCCCAGCCATTAGCCAACCGCATGGGGGTATTAATCTAGTCGTCTCCCTCTGGTCTCAATGAATCGTGATAAAAATGTCAAACAATTAGATTATATTGGCCAACAGCGCCAGTGTGATTGAGCGGCGAGGCAGGGCGCGTCCTGAATCACCCTGACAAAGGGAGCCGCTGCACCCCGCCATAAATCCCTACCCCCTGCCCCCCGCTTCTGTCGTGGGCCCAGCTCTGGGAGGCACAGGGGTGAGGGATGGGGCCGTGCAGAGGTCAGTGTCAGACCAGTGAGCAGGGCCGTCCCGAGGGAACCCCGATGCTGGGGGGCCTGGACGGTGGGAGGGGGGTCTCTGGGGACCAGAGTGATGCTGGCGGGGAGCAGGCAGCCCCTGGGGGCCAAGACTCCTCTGAGAGTCTCCAGGTCCCCACGGGTCGCTTCCCCACGGAGACACTCTATGCAGAAGGGCGGGCACCCGGGAAGGCACCCAGAGTCCGGGCTGAGATCCTCAGGCCAGACCCGCGGTCACAGGGGAGGAGGCCTGGGGCTTGTCCCTGCCGCTCCGGCCTCGGCCCTGAGGCTGGGGGACGGTTTGCAGCAGCCGCTGTGCCCAGGGCTCCGCCCGGCCTGCCCTTCCCAGGAACCATGCGGCCACCTTCTTTTTTCAGGGTGAAGACGTATTGAAAATTGATTTCTCTGTTGGAAATGGGATAATTAAACTGGTTGTTTCTATCTTCATCATCGTCATAATAAAATGAGAGGACAGCAGGGTTATGCCTGGCGTGAAGTAATATTGTATGTCCTAATGCAAGGGAGCATTAATTGAATACAAATGGCCTTTCTTGAAGTTGCTGGGTTATATTTCAGAGATATGGGATAATGATGCCAGTTAATCATTTTTACAAGATATAAAATTACTGGCTCCTCTAGGAAGATCATTAAGGAAAACAATTGTTCACAGCAATTGAAAATAGAGTTTTAATTATTTAACACAGAAATTAAACTATTAAGACACCAGTGTTGGCTGAGGGAACTTAATAGAAATTTATACACAAGCGTCTGTGAACATTTTACTTTTATTAACCCACCTAATTTCTTCATCCAAATCAGTCTGGAAGGCCTGTTTTCACTGTGCTCGTGAGTTAACTGCCTGGCGAGGAGGGCAGGCCCCGCGTCCGAGGCCCAGGGAGACGGGGAGCCCGCGGAACCACAGACTAGCCTCCCGGGAGGAGCAGCTGCGCCCTCCCAGCGGGCACGGGACATCCACTGGGATTCCTGGGGGGGGCCAGGAGCCCAGAGTGCCTGTGCCAGGAGGTAGGGGCAGCAGGCCATGGCGGACAGAGGCCAGGCTCTCCCACGCTACAGGCAGCTGGGGACTGGGAAGGGCAGGCATGAGGTGGCCACCACATGGAGGGTGACCTTGGTGCCCAGGGGATGCTATTCTGTGGAGATGAGATGAGGAATGAACGTAAAGTGTTGGCACAGAGCCTGGAGCTGGGGCCACCCACCTCACAGGTCACCTGAGTGTGACCCCGAGTGGGCTCTGGCAGGCGGGGTCCTGACCCCGGCTGCGGGTTCCAGAGCCCACATTACCTGGCCTGGGTGGCAGGGGCACCAGGTGTACCCAGTGCCCTGAGTGCCCTCATCCTCAGGTCCCCCCCATGACGAGGGTCCCCCCAGACTGCCTCACCCCAGCCGGGGAGGCCCACCCTCCACGCCTGGGGGACCCCCAGTCCTGGGGCACTGGGTCCTCCATGTTTGCAAGGGGCCTGGCTGAGGGCAGGGAAGCTTTCAACAAGGATTCTGACCTAAAATCCAGAAGTGGGAAGTCCTCTCCCGCGTTAAGGGGAAACACAGCGGAGCTCGCTGTGGAAGAACGAAGCAGAGGAAAACCAGAAACCCACCAAACGTGGACTTTTGGTGTGGGCTGCTTTTTTCTCCTTCAATTTTTCTTATTTTCCAAATTTCCTACAATAAAACAAGTTTTAAAAAAATCTTATTTTAAAAATATGGAAATCATTATTTCAAAACATAAATTAAGAAAACAAATCAAACTTTAAAAGGGTGATGAACAGCAAGAACAGAACGCGTTGGCGTTTGCCTGGGACAGAGGGGCCTGGACGCTGCGGGGACACAGGACTGTGGGCTGGGAGGACGCTGCCTCCCCTAACACACGTGCGGGTCTCGGAGCTGGGGCGGGGTCAGGCCCCCGGCGGCCCCAGGCCAGGTGCTGCCTTCTCCAGGGGAGAGGATGGCCCCAGTGACCAGCTCATGGTCAGCAGCCTGGGTAGAGCTCAGCTTGGACCAGAGCAGGTGGCCGGAGACCCCCACCCCCACCCCACACACACGGGTCCCCTGGCTTCCGGGAAGTCAGGGGCTGAGCGTGGGCAGTGGCGGTCATCTCCTGCAGCCTCCAGGCCCCTGGTGCCAGGGCACCCACATCCTTCCTGGAAACCATTCAGAACCTGCAGGTCTGGTCTCTCCCTTGAAAGGCTGTCCACCCCTCGAACTACATTCTGTCTCCTATTACTGCCAATAAATCCCCAGTGATCTCCTTTCTCCTTATAGTTTTTAGGGTTACATAAATTTCACCTATGTAATTTTTTCATGCTTGAATATATTACAGAATGCCACTGCTGTTAGAGCAGCTAATTGATAATGTGATTTGTTCTGTTGCTGGGACATAACTCAGAAAGTTATTTCAGAGCCTGTGAGACGGGGACGGCACTCCGGGTAACATTTCTCACGTGAGCAGACGCAGCGTAAGGGAACAGATGTGAGGCTGCACAGATGAAATATTTCCAGAAGCTTTTATTCTTGTTGTTTGGGTGGGTGCCAACATCTTTCTAGAAGAAAGCTCATATTTTTAGTGCTGCTCTGATTTGAATTTATTCCCTGGTCATTAGTTAGCTTTTTTTAAAAAAACTGGAACATGTGTATATATTTGAAAAAAGGAAAAATCAAACAGAAAAGATGGGACTCACCACCTTTCAAGATTACCAAAGATGAGCTTTTTCTTTATCTTTTCTGTTGAATTAATTACAGATTCACAGGAAGTTGCAGACAGTACAGGCAGGGCTGGCCCTGCATGTAGCTTCCCCGGGGCAATGTCAGAAACAGCTGCCAGGAGCTGAGGCTGGTGCAGCCCTGGGCACGCTGTGGCCACATTCCCTTTTCACTGCTTCTTACAGGTGTCTGCACCGGTGTTTGTGTGTGTGTGTGTAAGCTGTGACATGTCACCCCACATATAGATTGGTGTCACTGACACAATCAAGATGCAGAACTGGTCTGGCACCCCAGGGTCTCCCAGGGCCCAGCCTGCAGCCCCTAGGGAGGGGTGAGTGGGGTGTTTTCTTAAATATCCACAGCCCAGCGCCACCAGACCCCCAGAGCCCTGCAGGAGGTGGGTCTGCCTGGGAAACAGCACCACAGGCTCCTCCCCCAGTGAGGCCCTCTCCCTGCACAGGCCCCTTCAGGGCCCCAGGAACTGCCAGGTGCTGGGGACATCAGGGCCAGCAAAGTCCAGGGCTGGCCACTCAGCCAAGAGGCATTTGGAGAGAGTGGGTGCCCCGCTCAAATCCTGCTGGGCCCCATGGACATGCAGTCCCCACAGTGGGAGAAAGGTGCCCAGAGTCAGAGGGGCCAGCAAGGGGGTCAGAGGGTGGGCACTGCCCTGGGCGGGGGCTCCACAGCCTGGAGTGTTCTGGAGGAGCACAATCCTGCCCTTCTATGCCCTCGAGTCCCCCCGGGGCGTCTCTTCGGACGCTGAGGGACATGGGCACAGAGCCAGGAGAGTTGGGCCTCCTGCGGAGCACAGCAGGCAGAACCGCCAGGCTGCACCATGGAGCCAGCCCCACAAGGCTCACGTCACCCTGTGGCGGCTCTCTCCACTTGTCGTGGTATGTCGGGTCCCAGGCTGAAGACACAGCCCCAGCCTGAGCCCTGGTGGCGGGAATGCACAGGACCGGCTGACACCCAGTGGTGCTTGGAGCTTGGCTGGCCTGTCTCTCCCTCCCATCTCGCTGGCCGCAGTCTCACGCGGACTGGAGGCCCTGGGCTGGGGGCAGGGCCGTGCAGCCCTCAGGGACAGCCTACAGTGGCCACACGTGCCTCTGCAGAGCCGGCTGGAAGGAGGACATGCCCCTTCCCTGGGGACACGCCTCCTCTACTGGACGCGGGCCCCCGGGGAAGGCCCCAGGCGGAGGGCTGGGGCTCATTTCGGAGTGCTCCCTCTGTGGAGGCTGAAGGAGGTGCTGGTGTCCCTGCGGCGGGCAGGAAGGGGTGGCAGCCAGAGCCATCGCTGGTTCCAGACCGAGCCCCTGGGGGCACAGGCACCACACCACCACAGAGGCTGATTCAATTGTTTACTGAAGCACCTCAACTGAAAACAAGTCTGTCCTGACATGGCTTCTGATCAGGACAGGGCAGGAGCGCCTGGGATGTACTCTGAGAGGGGCTGTCCCCTGAGGGACCAGGAGCCTTGTCCCCAGGGAAAGGAGTCTGCCGTCAGCCAGAAGTTGTCTGTGGAGGCCCACGTGCTGCTGAAGCCTTGTAGGAGGTGGAGACCACCCCTGTCCCAACACCCCATGGGGACCCGGCCCCCCCTGGATTGAGACCACCCTGGGTGCACAGGGCAGGGGAGGGTGCTAGGGGTTGACCCCTGATGCATTCCTCACCCCACCCACCCCTCTGAGCCCCAGAGATATTCTCCTCCCTCCACGAGGGTCCTGTGGGTGCTGGGTGGTAGGCGGTCTGGAGGGGGGGAGCCACAAAGCAGGCCAGACCCTGGGTGGGTCCTGGCCTGACAGTGGTGATGGAGGCAGGCGCCGCCGTGAGCAGAACTGGAGGGGTGGAGGGAACCTGGGTAGTGCAGCCCTGCAGGAGGCACTGGAGGAGGGGCTGGGGCCGTGGCCAGGGCCGGAACTCCTGAGGAACTGGGAGGGACAGCCGTAGGTGGGAATGGAGTGTGTCCAGGGCGGTGAAGCAGGGCTGTTGGGAGGCGGGGCCCAGGCCTCCATCAGCCGATGGCCAGGTGTGGCAGCCCATAGAGGACCAAGTTGAGGGCAACAGGGAGCAGCTTAGAGCCGTGGGGCAGTGGCCGGAACATGAATTTCTCCCTGGAGGTCTGCGGAGACTCACCTGAGGGGAGAGCGGGACAGGGGCCTGTGAAATGCGAGGCTCATGGGCGGCAGGACGTCCGGCCGTGGGGGCAAGCAGGGAGGGAGGTGAGGGTGCTCCTGGCTCTGCCTCTGGATGCAGCCCGGGCCTGGACGCTGCCACATGTCCTTTACAGATGGGGACACTGAGGCTGGAAGGCAGCCAGCGCACAGCCAGGGAGTGACCGACTGCACCAGGACTGGACCTGCCTGACCCCAAGGCCCACTCTCCCCTCCACACCACGGCCTGGCACTGAGTGCTGTAAGAATCCAGAAGGTTCTACCAGCTGACGCTGCCTCTGCTACAACCGGCTGCCACCACTGACTGCAGGGAAGGCCTGCACAGGATCGGGGTTTGTCCCTCCGCGCCCCATGGACATCAGAACCAACAACAGAGGTCGCAGGAGCCACGGTTCGCCCCTCCTCTACCTGATGGAAGAGGAACGTGCTGGCAGCTCTTCAGCCAGCAGAGCCACGCGGCTTCTGTTTCTGTCCCGGTTTATCGCTCCTGTTCCCAATGAGCTGGAATCCTACCCACCTCCACCCACCTGCCAACACCTGTTCACTCACCCACTCACCCATTCATGTACTCACCCATTCCGTCACTCACCCATTCATTCGTTCACTTATTTAGTCCTCACCCGCCCACTCTCTCATTCATGTTCTCACTGATTCATTTGCTTACTCATCCATTCATTCATTACTCACTCATTTGCTCACTCACCCATTCGTTCCCACACCCATTCATTCCTGTACTCTTTCATTCATTCTCTCATCCAGTCATTCACTCATTCAACAAGCATTTATTCAGCAACTACATCCCAGGCACTGCAGACTATGTGATTTTTAAACGTTAAGCTCCGTTTTGTGTGGTATACTTTGGAGATTTCATGATTTTGAATCACCATGGGATGTGTCTTTCTCAGTTATGGCAGGTTATTCCTTTAAGGTAGAGCTATAACCAGCATTGTATTGAAGTTGTTTTCACACCGCTAGCTGTGAAGCTGTTGCCAGTGTGACATCAGGGTTCCGCTTGCTCTGAAGGATGAGCGGGGGGCTTCCTCGTTCCCAGAGAGTGTCCCTGGCTTTTAGAATCTGTGTGACTTGAGCTGCTGCAGAGACGAATCAGCAGTTCTGATGCTGCCGTGCCCCCGGGGCCTCTGACACCAGCTCTCCCTGTGGGCCCCTGTTCGTAAGGAGGCGCCTGCTGACCTCTGGAGGCCGTGCAGAACACAGCAAGTGGGGATGCCTCGACCCTCAGGGCTGCGGGGACGGTGGTCTCGAGGGGCAGCACACAGCCTGAAGGGACAAGCCGTGAGGCGGGAAGCGTTCTAGTTACCGTGGTTGGCCACTTCGCTGGCTTCCATCTTCTGAAGGAGACGGACTGCTCTCCCGACCGGCTTGCCAAGTGTCAACAGATCTAGAGCAGAAACTCCCTTCAGACAGGCTGTGGACACTGCGGCAGGCTTCTGGGGAAGCCTGAAGGGCTGCGAACAGGCCCAAGGTGCCCACTTCCACTCACTTTCCCACAAGATGCTGGCACGCAGCGCGTTGTCCTGCAGGAGTGTCGGCCACTGGTTCGCCAAGATGCTCCTGACCCCCACCAGACTCAGAAGGATGGCAGTCTTGAGAGGCCCCTCCAAGGACAGCTGGGGTGCACTGCAGGGGACCCAGCTCCCTGGGCTAGTACCAAGGGCCCCCCACCCCCGTCCACAGCCCAAATGGCACCAAGTGTTGGAACGTGTACTTAGACTGACAGCTCTTAGAGCTCTTGAAAGAATCCAGAACTCCTACACATCCCCAAGTTAGCTGGCATCTAACGAGGAAAGGCGTTTCGGAGCGCTGCCACATCCCTCCAGACGGCTCCCAGTCACAGGGTGGAGTCAGGAGGGGAGGCCTCCACCACAAAGGGGAGGGCCCCCTCCGCCAGCTCGGCAGCCCACAGAGGCCCTGGGGCTTGTGACACAGGGAAACTCTGAAGCCAGGGTGCCCCAGCTGCCGGCCCTCTGTCTCCTGGCCCAATCCTGCAGGCCTCAGGGCTCCAGGCTGGCCTGGAGTCGGCCGCAGGAGCTGCCCCCCACCCACGCGCCCCCAGAGACTTTGCCAGGGGAGGGTTTGAGAAATCATGGAGCCCTGGCTCCCTTGTGGGGCTCTGCCTGTGGGTTCAGGGGCACTCTGTCTCCCTGCGTCCCCAAGGGGCACAGCCAGTGCTCATCTACCGCCCAGGCCACCCCATCAGTGGCCCGGCTGCTGGCTAGAGCCGTGCGGAGGGGACTTCAGGCACCTCTTGTTCTCCGAGACCTCCAGCTGCCGCCGCATGCTCTCGTAGGACCGAGTCAGGTCCAGCACGACCATCATCTGGCACTCTGCAGGGCATGAGGGGCGGCTCAGGGGCTGGGCACCCGGGAGAGGAGGCCATGCAGGCTGGCGTCACCCAGGGCGAGGGTGGGTCATGGAAACCCAGCCCAGTCTGCCCGAGCCTCAGACCTGACGACCACAGGCCCTTTCTGGGGTCCACTGGCCGCACAGGCACACGGGAGCCATGGACCCTTCACAGCCTCCCTGTGTGACGAGGCCGGGCCATGGGGAAGGGGTGGGAAGCCCACTCCGGGCCTGCTGCAGCTCTCCCCGCCGGCAGAGGGGTCTCAGCTCCCAGCACTCCACACCGACAAGGCGTCCCAGCCATGGGGCAGTCACAGGTACACCCGGCCCAGGTCCACTGAAAGAGGCACCAGTGTCCGCAATGCAAGGCTTGGGTGTGAGTGTGCAGGGAGCCCCAGGAGCACAGAGCCGACGCCCCACTTCCCCGCAGGCGGGCAGGCAGAATCTCCAGCTGTGCGAGGACAGGCCTCAGCTGGAGCAGCAGGGGCCCCCGGCGATGCTGTGGCCCTGCGTGCCGCCTGGGGAGCTTACGGGTTTCTCCGACTTCGCTCGCCATCTCTTGAGACGGCTTGCAATGAAAGTACCCAAGAAGCCCTGTTTCCACCTCCCCCTGGGGTAAGGAATCCTTCCAGGTGACCTGCACATGGGTGGGAGGCATCTCTGAAGGGTCCCCTGAAAGGGCCCCCCACCCACGACTGTGCAGAGTGGCCTGCTGCCCAGGAGAAGGTCACCCCCAAGAAGGCCAGACCAACCCCACAAGTGTCCTGGGGGTGGGGGCACTGATGCCCTCCTCTGCTCTCAGTGGACCAGAGGGCGGTGGGGGGGCGGGTGGCAAACAAAGCCCAGAGCGCCCACCTTAGACCAGAAGAACTGGGGGAGGGGTTGAGATCAGCGTGTTCTGGAAATGCACCCCCAGCCTTCCTGGACTCTGTAGGCCCAGTCCCGCAAGGACAACCGCCCAGCTCCTGACCCCCACCAGGCCTGCTGGTCTGGAAATCTGAATCAGGGTCTCTGAGAAACAGAGGAGGGGCACCGAGGCAGGGGCTTCCTCCCTGAAGCCACTGCCCCCCCAGCCCCTGTAAGACAGATGCTGCCTGAGGAGATGCAGGGCCTGCTCTGTCCCTGTGTGGGTTCATCTCCAGCCCCTGGGCCTGGCGGGGAGTCGGGCTTTCAGGACACTGAGAAGATCGGCCTCACCTTGTAAGTTCATGGCCGCCAGCCTTTCCACTAACACGTGTGACAGCATGCTCTCCATCCCATAGAAGAAAAAGCCGCTGCAGCTGTCCAGGAGCTGCTCCCACTCAGCCTGGCTGCAGAGAGAAGGGGAGTGACGGCGTATGGACTGGCAGCAGATGTCCAGGACGCCGCAACTGGGACCAAGTCTGTCCTGAAGCCCTCAGGGCTGGGTTGCAAGCGGAACACCCTCCCAGGGACTGTCCTGCCTGGTCTTCACTCCACCACCCACTCCCTTGCTAAGACAGAATCAGGACCCGCTTTCCCAGCATCCTCAGACACCTCTATCCTGTGTTGACTCTCAGGGGCCCTGGGTGGCTGGTCCAAGCAGCTCTCCTGAGAGTGGACCTCGTGTCCCTGGAATGAACCCGTCTCACTGGACAGGGGCTCTGGAAAGTGCTAGAAGGGCACTTCCCTGATAGCCAAGCACGCTCAGGTCCCCAAGGGCACCTACAGGATACTGTCCCTCCCCCCAGAGACCCAGTGCCTGTGGTTGGGGTACAGATCCTGTGCAGGACTGGCTGGGCCTGGTGCAGGGACACACTCTTGGGTACCCAGGTTCTCCTCTGTAAAGTGGGGATGAGGACAATGACACCCTCATCCAGGCACAGTGAGGACCAAGGAGCCCAGTGTGTGAGGAAAACAAGCCAGACCCCAGGAGCCACTGTGTCAGTGAGGATCGGGGGTCAGGGCAGGAGGGAACCTGAGGGAGAGAGGGGGAAAAGGAAGGGACTGAGGACACCGGTCCCCCCCGGGGTGTGGCGCCCCCTGCAGCGGGCTCACTTAAACCACCCCCCAGGACAGTACCCTGAGAGCCCAAACGCGAACCTTGGAAAGTGTGTGCTGCCCAGATGTCCCACCCATCTTGCAGTGAACATGTCTTGGTATCTTTCCAAAATTTCCCGGGTTACGGAGACAGGAGTCAGCGTCTCTGCAATGAGAACTGAATGTTGACAACATGCAGGAGCTCTGTCACATGAGGAGCACTGGGGGCTGCGGCGGGCCCTGTGCCCTCGGTGCCTTGTTGTGGCGCCTGGGCCTAGAGCTCTCCTGGGGTGCAGGCCCGGTGGAGTTGATGTTTGCTGCTCACAGAAATGGAGTGCTTCCCTCCTTGTGGAGAGATTTTAGAAGCCAATGTAACAAAAGGAAAACCCAGGGCGTTAAACCCTTGGAGGGGCAAGGCCCGCACTTGGCTCGTGCACACACTGAGGCCTGAGCAGAGGGATGCCAGGCGCCGCCCCAGGTCCGATCTTCACATGCTGCTGTCCTGACTTGGCCGCAGTTGTGGGGGAGGGGCCCTGAGGCACACGGGCATCCCCGGGGCCAGCGTGACCCCAACCCCCCACAGGCTTTGTGACACGGGGCAGCCAGAGGCGGAGGCCGTGCGCAGGACGTGGGGGCGGAGGCAGAGGCGCCTGAGGCACGGCACTCTGCCTGCGCTGTTCCGTGGGCGCTGTGGGTGGGGCGCGTGTGCTATGAGCTGCGACGAGGCGCGTGGGAAGTGCTCACCTATGCCCTGGGCCTCCTCATAGGGGTCCACGATGACTGGGCCTTGGTTAAGGAGAAACAGGGCCACAGGCTCGGGTGTCTCGGGCGGCGGCCCATCAAAGGATACACTTGAAGTCGTCTGTGGCGACTAAGATGCAGTCAGTGGGGATGACGCGGGGCGCGCTGCCCTGCAACAGACAAGGTCCGTTGATGTGTCCCAGGAGGCAGTGTGGCCCTGCTGCAGCCAGGCAGGGGCCAAACCTCGGGCCCAGAGCCACCTGTGGGACCCCAGACACCCCGTCCCACCTACCTTCCAGCCCTTCTTTCCTGGACTTCTCTTCTTTAGCTCTTTGCCTTTGCCATCCTTCTTTTTCATGTTCCCTTCTGTTGAGGACAAGAAAAAGAAGTGGTGATGTTCTAGAACCAGATAGAGGTGGTGGTATACAACACTGTGAATGCACTAAATGCCACTCAATTGTTCGCTTCAAAATGGCTAATTTTATATTATGTCAATTTCACCTCAATAAAAAAAACAAGAAGTAGTGAAGAAAAATGATTATAATTTTTGTAAAGTTGAAATGGCAGTACTTTCTCAAATGTGAAGACTCACAGGGCTGGGGGAGGCATGGGCCAGGAGACCTTAAGAAAGGAACAGTTTCCAGAGGCTCCCAGGCCCGGTTGGCTGACCATTCACACACCATGTTGAGCACCCACCAGTGTGCCTGCCGAAGCAAGCCTCATCACAGGGCCAGGTCCTGCCAGTTCCTCTGCCTTCTGCATAAGGATTTACAACCTGTCCCCTTGCTGTACTCCACTGTTCTGGCGGCTCGTAGATTCTTCTGGAGGTTCTGAGAGTAAAGAAGTCTCTTCCTTTCTTTCTGCCCTCGTGTCTTTCATTTCTGTCTGCACTGGAAGGACGATGTGAGGCTCTCAGCCATGTCCCCACTTTTTTTGTTCCAACCAATTTTTGTCTTTTTTGTCTGTTTTGTCTGCTCCTGTATTTATTGCAGCCTTTCCTAGGCTTTCTTCGGGATTTTCTGCTCTTGCTCTAAGTTCTTAAATCCAATGCTTAGTTTATAAGCTGCCAATGCTTTTCCTTTCCTCACATAAACACCTACAGCTACAAAGTCCTCCTGGGTTCTGCTGCGGTGACATCGCGATTGTCTTTGACATTCCCATGGCCATTTCTTCTGAGTCCCGAGTGACATTTAGACATGTGTTTTTAATTTCTAAGTGTACAGCGACTTAAGAAATCCCTTCTTAGGTCACTGGTTTCTAACTCAATCATACTGTGGACTCGGCCAATTCCTCTGATCATTCCATGATGTGCACTTGAAGGATGTCTCTACCTTTCAGATGCAGCTCCACCTGCCCGCCACGCCGCGGCTGCTGTTGAATGATCCCAATCTCCTCTTCTTCCTCTTTTCAGTTGTCTCACCCACCAGGAACGAGGGCTGGAGCCCCCCCAGCGGATGGACCCGCCACTCACGCCCGGGGTTTGGGTAACGTGTGCTTCACCTGCTCTGATGAACTGACCGCTGTCCAGCTGTGCTGGCCCTTCCCGCCAACAGTGACACAGCCCCCATTCTGCTCACTCTGCTGACCACGCTTTCCATTCTGTGGCTTCCTGAGGCAGTGTCCTTTTGGTTCAGGTGTGTCTCTGGTGAGCAGCACCTGACAGACGTCCTTCTAACCTCGCTGTCCTGTAGGGGCAGGTGTGGTTCATTGCTTTTTTCTGGTTAACGATCTAAATGGACTAATTTCCACCCCTGATGATTTACATCTATCCGTCTGTTCTCTGCGTGCCGCTCTGTCCTCGGTGCTTTCTAATGGGATTGAGGTACTTGGGTCACCTGTTTTTCTTATTCATTTTCCTTCTTCGTTGCTTTGAAGTTCATACACCAATTCTATCTTTGGTGGTTATCCTTAAAGCCTTACCACGGATATTTAACACCCAAGCAGCATCCCTCCAGTGTGAACAGCCAAGGCTCTGACACATCACTGTGGGGCCTGCAGGATCAGTCCTCTCTGTGACCACTCAGGAATGCATTTAAAAAGACTTCACTCACATTCACTAGAATTTTAGTGAAGTTGTGTTGTGGTGAGAGTCTGTATTAGTTTCTCGTGGCTGCTGTAACAAATTACCACAAAGGCAGGGGCCTAAAACAACACAAGTTTATCATCTCACAGTTCTGGAGGCCAGAAGCCAAAAAGGGATCCCAGGGGACAAGATTCAGGTGTGGGCGGGGCTGGGTCCTCTGGAGGCCCTGCGGAGGCATCTGTGTTCCTCAGCTCATGGCCCCTCCCTCCATCTCCAGAGCCAGCAATGTTGCACTTTCTTGGCCTCTCTGACCTCCGCCTCCCCCTCATAAGGACCCTTGTGATGACATCAGGCCACCGGGTCATCCAGGATCATCTCCCCACCTCAGGGTCCGTCACAGAGTCACATGTGCATGGTCTCTTGTCATGTCAGGTCACATACTCACAGGTTCAGGACATCTTTGGGGGCTGTTACTCTGCCGACCCCATCACCTGTTCCATGCTCTCCCATTGCTGCTACAACACTGCAATGCAGGGCAGTGCGACAGGAAGGCCCTTTCCAGAAACGGGGTGCAGACAGTTGGGACTCAGGTGGAAAAGGAAACTTAGACCTTACCTCATACCACACACAAAAATCAATTTCAGATGGAGGGTAGATAAAAATGTGAAAGGCAAAAAAACAGACATATGAACAGCTTCAGGATCCTGAATTAAGAAAAGACTTTGGGGAAAAAAAAAACTCAAAAGCACCAGCTATTAAAAAAGATTGATACATTGGACTATATTGAAATGTTTTGATCATCAAAAGACCCCATTTAGGAGAATGAAAAGACAAGCTACAGTGTAGGGGGAGACATCTGTAGTTCATATAAATGATAAGAAAATTTACATCCAAATATATGAAGAAACTCTACAAACCTACAGAACAAAACACAGATAACCCAGCAGAAAAGCTGGCAGAACACTAGAACAGGTTCTCCGCAGACGAGGACTTGTGAATGGCCAGCAAGAAATGAGGGGCTCCGCCTCACCGGCAGGCCGGCGGGACTTACGCCCGAGGCCCCACCCTAACCCCACATGGCCCCTCCTCGGCGTGCACCCGGGGAAGCGGCCTCTTGTGCCCCAAGAGGCTTCTAGGAGTGGTATGGTGTGTGTTTTCCACCCCTCACCACCTCCTTATTTAACCTGGTTTCTGTGAGGAGCGCATCTTGGATCTCGCATTTTTATTCACGCAGAGGAGCTCTGCCCTCTAACGGGGGTGCGGAGACCATTCACGGAGACTGTGATCATGGATGTGGCTGGGTTGAAATCTACCATCCTCCTATTTGATTTCTGTTTGTCCCCTCTGTTCTTTGTCCCCTTTTCCCTCTTTTCTGCCTTCTTTGGGTTCGTCGGTATATTGTATGGTCACATTTTGTTGTCTTCATTGGTGTATTAGCTATAACCTTTTGTTTTGTTTTTGGTGGTTGCGTTAGGTTCCCCCTTCGGGTCATCACAGTCCGCCATCAGGCCCTGTCCCACCGCGTCACGTACAGCAACGACAACATCCAGGCAGTCCTTCCACTTCCTGCCGCTCAGCCTTGTTCTGTCCTTGTCTCACATTTTACGGTTATGTTAGAAAACTCCACAACACATTGTTATTACTTTTTTGCTCTAAACTGTCAAAATCTTTTAAAGAGATTTGAAAAATACAAAAAAGGTTTAAAATATTTACCCACATATTCCTCCTTTCTGGTGGTATTTATTTCCTTGTGTAAATGTACCTTTCCATCCGTTTTTCTCCCACCTGAAGAACACTCTTTAGCATTTCCTGTAGTGCAGGCAGGCCTGCTAGTGAAGAATTCTTTCAGTTTTTCTGTACCTGAAAAAGTCTTTATTTCACTGTTTTTAAAAGTTATTTTCAAAAATATCTCAATTGACAGACTTTTTCTTTAATAATTTAGATGTTGTCCACTGATTGCTTGCATTGTTTCTGTTGAGAAGTCTGTTGTCACTCTTGTATTTCTTTCTTGATCCACAACGTATATTTTTTCTTTGCCTGCTTTTAGAATACTCCGTCACTCATTGATAAACCAATAAATCATTGATTGGTTTTAATCAATCTGATTATGATGTTCCCTGGTATAGTTTTCTTTTTTGTGTGTGTGTTTTGGCTTCATGGAAACTCTTGGATCTGTGGGACTACAGTTTTCATCAAATTTGGGGGAAAAAATTGGCCCTCACTACTTCAAATATCCCCCCTCTTTGAAAATTGTAATTACAAGTATATTAGGCTGTGTGGAAGTGAATGACAGAAACCTCAACTCAACTGGGTGGGAGGCCTGCAGGGGGAGCCATCACTCCATCCCACATCCTCACAGCACCAAACAGGTACAGAGAACACTGCACCTCCAGCAGGAAGTACAACTACTTTACTATGAAGGAAGATTTCTCTCCACCAGGCAACAGCCCAGCCAATGAGAAATGCCACAGCTCAGCTAATGGGAAATGCCACAGCCCAGCCAATCAGAAACACCACAGCTAAGTCAATAAAAAAATGCCACAGATCAGCCAATGAGAAATGCTGCAGCTCAGCTAATGAGAAACGCCACAGCTCAGCCAATGAGAAACTACTGCTGCCCTGATCTTTTACTCTCCCCCAGTGGGCTTTCCTTTAGAAGAGCCCCTCCCTCTCCCCCTTTTCTCTATAAAAGCAGCTCCCTTCCTTTGTTCTCTTGATTTACCTGTGATTTGCCACAGCATCGCATCTTGAATTGCAATTCTTTTGCCTATCCCAGAATAAACTTGTTTTGAGATAAAATAGGTGAATTTGCTTTTTATGTTGAGAGCTGCTTGAACTTGTCCAACTGATCACTGATGCTCTGTTCATTTTTTACAGTCTTTTCCTACTGCTATTTCTTCAGGTTCACTAATCTCTTCTTCTGGTGTGTCTAACTGCTGTTCATGCTACAGTGTATCTTCCATCTCAGACAATGTCCTTCATCACTAAAGTTTCATTTGCGTGTATCTTCCACATCTCTGCTTGACATGCTCAGTCTTTCCTCTCCCTCCTCAGACACATGAATCACAGTTATAGGAACTGTTTTTCACTAACTCTAGCACCTGCATCATTTCTGGGTCTGTTTCTGTTGATTGGTTTTTCTCTTCATTACGGGTCATGGTTTCCTGCTTCTTTGTATGCCTAATCATTTCTGATTGAATGTCAGGTCAGACATTTTGAATTTTACCTTGTTGGGTGCTGGATATTTTTTATTTCTATATATATTCTTGAGCTTTATTTTGGGATGTAGTTCAGTTACTTGGAATTAGCTTGATCTTTTTGAGGCTTGTTTCAAGTTCCGTTAGGTGAGGCCAGAGCAAGTGTCCCCAGTGCAGAGGCAATGCCCTGTGAGTTATATATTTTTTCATTCTTGCTAGTGGAAACTTGAACCATTCCCAGCCCTGAGTGAGCTCTGGAGACTGTCCTCTGCTCCTTGTGGGTGGCTCTTTCCCTGACCTTAGGTGGTTTCCTCTCACACCTGCAATGGCCAGTTCTCAGCTGAAGACATGAGGGGGTCCTCTGCAGACCTCTGGCTCTCTCTCTGTGCAGCTCTCTCCTTCAAGTACCTGGCTGCAAAGTCTAGTCTCCGTGAGACCCCAGCCCCATCTCCTCCACTCAGGGAGACCGTCAGGCTCTGCCTGGTTCCCTCCCTCCCCCGTGCTGTGGCCTGCAGACTCTCCAGGCAGGAAGCTTGGCCTCACCTGCTTGTTTCCCCTCTCTCGGGATCACTGTCCCACGCTGCCTGGTCTCCAATGTCTGAAAACCATTGTGTCATACGCTTTGTCTGGCTTTTTCGTTGTTTCAGTTGGAAGGGCAAATTTGGTCCTTGTTACTTCATCTTGGATGGAAGCAAAGGTCTGATCTCTTTATTTTTAACTTAATTTGATATTTAGTGAGGTGCAACATACATGCAGAAAACTGAACAGAGCACCGGTGTACAGCATGGACAACGGTCAGCGACTGGGCATGTCTGTGCACCCAGCACCTGCGCCCCAGCCCCACGGCCTCGGCAGGTCCTCCCAGGCCTCTCCCTCACTGCCCTCACTACCTCACAAAGGAGTGACGGTGACTGGCTGTTTACTGCCCTCCCCTCCTTTGAAACAGAAGTTTGTGAGGGCAAGAACAATGTCTGATTTCTTCTTCAGTATGTGTTCAGCACCTAACAAAACATGTGGCACACAGGAGGTGTTTTATAAATACCCGGAAATGAGTGCCTAGAAAAATGCTGCAACATTTAATAATTATTTTTTGACAGGGGTTAACATTCTCTTATCATAAAAGTAACTTAAATAGTTCCATTTTAAAATTAAATATTAGTGTGGCTAAGGGTAGCTTTTACCTGTCTCCTCTTTACGGAGGCGATTCCACAGCATTTGGAGAGAAAACTCTCGTGACACAGAGGAGACCGTCCCTTCCCTGAACACAGAGAGACCTTCTAGCGGCAGCTCCAAAAGATGCCTGTCCACAATGAGGATGATGTTGTCTGCAGCCTCGAGATGAACTGTGGGAGGGAGGCACCAGCTAAAAGGCAGCAGATGACAAGCTCCCAAGGATGGGACAAACCCGCAGGGGTGAGCCTGATGGCCCAAGGTCTCTGTCATTGCTGAGGTCCTTTGGCTGGAGGTGGCAGCGCCCCCAGCTGGAGACATGGGAACAAGTCTGAGCTGAGCACAGCTGGCAGAGAGCCCGGGCCCCAGGACTTGCCAGCGCTCTCTAGGGAAGAGACCCTGGTTTGACGGTGCAGCCACCTCACATCTCAGACCTGGACTCGTTGCTCCTCTCTGGTTCTGAGGACCTGCCCTGGCTCGGGCAGCCAGTCCCAAGGCAGGTCCTGGAATGCCATGGCTCTTACTAACCAGGGAGCTCCCTTTCAAAGGACGAGAATAGTCCAGAGAGGGGTCATGGCTGCTTGGGACAGCTCCTTTAGAGGAAGCTTCTCCAGGTGACCCCAGAGCCCGCGGAGCTCCTGCCTGGCTCACTAGAGGAAACCTGCTCTTTTTGACAGGCGCAGCGGTCCTAAGGGGTGAGGCCACCAGACACTGCAGTTCACACAGTAAAACAAGTTTACTCAACACCAAGCGAGGGCCCTTCTTATCTCCACCTGGGGAGTTTTTAGGGCAGAATCTCAATTCACAAACGTGGCCTCAGGTAGGCAGACTCTGACCTCGCAACTGGAGTGTAACAGTGACCTGTTTTCCTAACAGCCCACACCCTCTGGCACTGTGGAAGGGGGGCACCACCAGGCGCTTCCGGAATGGAAGTGCTTTTTGGTAAAGTAGCCGCCCCTTTTCCCTTCTGTTCAATAATTCTTTGTGTGAGATAGAAAAGTAGACAAAAATAAAATAAATGAGAGATTTATAAAATCCTAGGCTCCAGGTGAAAGATTAAACCCTTGCAGACACTTAACGCTCCTTTCTAGTTGTGGATTTGAGGGATGTTAGCACATTGCAAACATTTTTAAGCCCATCAAGTGAGAAAGAAGGGCTCTGTCCTGAAGGTGCAGAAACAATCATGAAGCCACCGGCAGCTCAGGCCCGGGGCTGCCCCCATGCGCGCTGACCTTCTCCTGGCGTCGGGCTAAAAGGAGAGCATTCATCTTTTATTCATGAACTCAGTAGACCACTGACCCGGAAGGCCCACTTCGCCCTCCTGTCATCCGGGACGCAAGCTCCGGATGGTGACGCGGACGAGGTATAGGGCAAGGGTCGCACATCGTTACTGCTGTTCATACACATGTGTCAAGCTGCCGGGTCCCCAAGCAAGGGCAGGTCTGCTGGGTTACGTGGTGCTGTCCATAGGGTTGCACAAACCCCACACAGAGGGTGCTGGTCAGTGGCTGTGTGCACCACCTTCTGTGGGCCTTCCCCCCACCTGTGGGTGCTCAGCACCCTGGGAGACACTCAGAGGGAGGCCCCCAGGCAGGGCCTACCCAGCAGCTGCAGAGAGCCTGTCTCTCTGTGGAGAGCCCCAGCCTACGTGCTTAGCAGCAAGCCCTCGGCTTCCGAGGGCAGATGCCTGCGGCCTTCACGGCCTCCTCAGCTGCTGCTCACCCTGGGGCAGGGACGGCTTCCTCTCCTTGTCTTTGCTCTTTGATTTCCCCAAATCCGCGACAATCGTGGGGGCCTGTATTCTGAAAGTCAAAGGCATATATTCAGGTTTTAGAAATACATGGAAACGGCACACACAGAGATGAGAAGCGTCTCTGTGGACTGTCTCACTGTAAGGCCGTGCCTGCCACTCTCCACAGCTCATTTTCGGGGCCGGCCTCACTGCTGTGAGGGGCCCGGGATAACTGCGCACAGATGTGAGCAAGCAGGGCTCAGGACGGTCCCCGATCTACTGCGAATCCAGAGACTGCCGTGTGCCCATTCCCTCCGCCTTCCTTCCTGCCAAAAGTAGGTCAAGGGGCCCTGGCTCCTCAGCCCACATGGGGGCCAGGGGCTCAGAGAACCAAGGGGATACTGTGGGGGGGCTCCCGCAGAAAAAGTTTTAAGCAGAACCAGGACTTCTTCCCGACAACAGACAGGATGGAGTTGGGCATCCTGGGTGTGAAGGGCCTTTGCACATCTCCCATTTCAGTGGAACACAGTCCGAGTCAGCACAGAGAGAAGCCCACTGAGCATGCGGTGTCACAGTAGCAGAGAGGCACATTTCCACATGTGAACAAGATCAGGAAAACAGGTCTGACTTTCCACCCGTCCTACAGACAATCACTCAGCTCGCACTGGGATTCTGGAGAGTTCTGGGGTCTAAGCTAGCCTTCAAGCTAAGCCCCCCGCCTGTCTGCTCCTGCCCCCGGGTGTCACATTCCCGACTGCTCCCTGCACTTGAGGGGACTTGTGGGGACCCTGTGACCTCCCACCTGTTCGGAGGAGATGCCAACTTTGTGCCACCCCCCCGAGGGCCCTGGCAATTCGGCTAGTGCCTCCTCTCGCCCTCCGCGGCTGCCCTCAGTGCAGGGAGCTGTTCAGTCCCTTAAACAGCTCAGGCTGCAGCCCAGCGACAGGTACCCGGCTTCAGGGCAGCTGAGCAGCGGGAAGAGCGGCCTCAGATAATCCTCCATGGGCTTCAGAACGTCGTCGCTGAGTCTCTGCACAGAGCTTCCCTCCCCTTCAAGGTGTGCGCTTTCCGTTTCCTGTCTCAACCCAAACAACAGCCTGTGAGCAGGGGGTGTCTGAGGGGACCTCGTAAAATCCCCGTGCAGCTGGAGCAAAGAGGAGGTCAGACTCCACCAGGAAAAGCCCGGCCCCTGCCCTTCTGGAAACAGCCTGTGGCCAGGGGCCCAGCCCAGCAGCACAGGAGGGCTCCTTGCTCCCGCCCGCCTGCCTTTGGTGCCAGAGTCAGCCAGGTCCCCTGCAGACAGTGCTCCCTGCTGGTTCACCTGCCCACTCCTCTGAGAGACCACTCGGGCACCCCTAGCCCCACTAGATTCCTCTGCTCGCATCGTGGAGGCATCTGCATCAGACTTAGCTCGAAGATTCAAAGAATTGGCCCCACCCTGGGGGAGCCCAACCTGGGTGTCTGGCCATGCCTGGGTCTGGACGGCCAGTGCCCGCCACCCACCTGGGCAGTGGTCCTGGCCCAGCCCTCCCCACCCTGCCTCGCTGCAGCCGGACTGGGGGCCCTGTCCCTCCGCAGGGTGGGGGCAGCCCTGCAGCTGCGCTCGGGCCTCACCAAGCCTGAGCTCAGGGCCATGTCCTCACTGTACACTTCGGCCTGGGTCTGCTCCCAGAACTGCTGGGCCCCTGCCAAGAGGCAGGAAAAGGCGGCCGGACTCACAGCCACCCGAGCCACTTTGCAGGAGCCTGCGGAAACAGACACCACCGCTGTCCCAGTATGTGGCCTTCAAGACCCGCCCTTCAGGACTTAGAGGACGGCAGGTGGGGACGTGTGCAAACACCCGGAATTATGAAAGGAGCAAACTGTGGGCAGAGGGCTTCTCCACACGGGCCCGCCTGGCGTCCGCTGCCCAGGAGGAGGCTGAGTGGCTGCGAGGCTCTTCCTCAGCCCCACCTGCAGTCACTGAGGTATAATCAACACCAGGGCCCTGCACTAGCCTCCTGGGAGGAAGCTGCCCCATCAGGGTGGGAGGATGGACTGGGAGAGGCAGGGGTCCCGGAAAGGTCAGGAGAGAAGGGAAAACTGAAACCATGTGGTGTTTGAAATGCACCAGGGCTGCGCTGCAGACACTGTGAGGGGAGTCAGCTCCGGGACACACGGCCAGTCCTCCTGGACCCCAGGGGTCCTGCCCAGAGACAGAGCTGGCTCATGGTCATTCACAATGTGGACTTGTGCTCATCGCTTTGTGGAAACAGCCTGAAGGATCCCCAGGAAACAGCAGATGTCTCTCCTGGTCCTGGAGCCTTCCTTCTTTTTAAATGAAATGGCGAGTGGGATTTTGTGCCTGAGGCATGAGGAGGGAGGTGGGAGCTGGAAGGGGAGGCAGGCCAGGGTTCCATCCTCAGGATCACGGGCTTTCCCGGAGGAGCCTGGACCGCTGGCGGCTGGGACTGTGTGCAGGGCTCAGGGCGCTGGGCGCCTGAGATGCAGGAGGCTGGGCTTTGCGGCTGCTGCCAGAGCCCGGGAGGCACATGCCTCTGTGCCTCGTTTCCTCGTCTGTCCCAGGCTCAAGGACTCCCCCCTCAGAGAGTTGCGCTGACTGGGGAGATGATGTGGGGGCAGGTGGCCGGGATCGCAGCACCTGGCGGGGGACCTGTGTCTCACTCAGCCACTGGCTCCAAGGTCGGTGCTCAGGGAGTCCCTGCTCCAGCAGAACTCACCCCCGACCTGGACCACCTTCCCTTTGGCTGCGGGGATGAACCTGGGTCTCTCGTAGGCAGCGCCGTACAGATGGGTCCTGTGAGCAGGATGCAGGGTGGGGTCAAAGCCCAGCTCTTGGGGTCCCAGAGGAGCCACAAGACGTCAATTCTGTGAACCACATGCACACCCAACAGGAGCCCCCTCTCCAAGAGCTCCTCGGCCAAGTCCAGACACAGAATTAAAACAGGCCCATCTAGGCACAGCCATCCACAACAGACTGACTGCAGCCCTGCTAGAGGCGGGAAGACTGCCTTCTCTCCAGACAAGCAAGAGTAGGTCCGCTCCACCAGAGCAGTGACCTTTGGACCAGACTCACAGGCCCGCGCTGGAGACGGGGGTGGCACTGTGGCCCCAGGCATGCCAGTCTGGCCATCATCATAGTAATTCTCCCTAGTCCCCTTCCCAGAGGGACGGCCACCCACACCATCTCAGCTTGGAGCCCCCACTACCCCTGTCTGTCCAGCACGCTTCCTGGGCCAGCGGGGGGATCTGGTGCAGCCCCGGCACACCTGTAGGTGTGGCAGCCCCCATGCCGTGTCCACACCGTGCAGCTAGGCTTCCTAACAGGATCGAGAACGAGCACAAGAGCGGGAATAAGAAGGCCTTACCCGTCTTGTGAATGGTGTAGGAGGAGGATCCGAAAAGTAGGAGGAATTTCATTCAGGAGGTTAAAGTGTTGCTCAGTGACGCAGAGATTTTGCCAAGCCTGTGAGTGACAAACAGGAGTCAACTAGTCAACGGAGGTGTGTAGGCTGCAGGGACGGCCACCGCGCTCTGCAGGAGTGCCCAGTAGAGTTTTGTGCAGCCCTGGGCGCGCTGGGGCGGGACCCCTGCAGGACTCCTGGCTGCCACAAGGGGGCAGCAGATGCAGGTGGAATCCGTGGGCTGTTTATTAACATTTCTCCTTCTCTCCAGGTAAAGTCAGAAACTTGAAAAAGTGCAAATGCACCAAAACAACGAGTGGAAAACCTCCAGCACCTCTTCCACCAGCAGTCTTTCCCTCTCTCTTCCTCCTGTCTCCTCCACACCACACATGCAGACACGCACACATGCATAGACGCTCACAGCCACGTCCCCTCTCTTCCTGGGCCTGTGGGCTGGGTCCCCCGGGCGCTGTGGGAGGCTGCGCCTCAGCCCACTCGCCACTGTGCCCTCTTTTCTCCTGTAGCTCACGCACTGACAGGTTCTGATGAATGTCAGGCCCTGTGCACCATTCAGGCTCCTCACAGTCCATAGCAGGTGGCTGGCGGGGGGGCCCAAGGGTTCCAGCCGCCTGCTCTGCCTGTGGGGCAGCCCTCCCCCACTGAGCTGCGACTGCTCAGATGCACATCTCCCCACTTTCTAATGAAATGAGCTTGACCAGGTTTGCAAAAGCTGGCCAGCGTCCACACTCAGCCCATCAGAGTGACTTGGAACACTTGTCCAAGTGGGGTAGACAGACAGAAAGCGGTAACCATACAAGGATGTCCACAGTGGGCCGCATCCGCGTGGCAGAGAAGGAGGCTGCCCACAGGGAACCAGGACAGACTTCTAGTAGCTCAGGGTGGCTTCTTCACCCAACACCGGAAGGTGAGGTCCATCCATGTTTGTGCGCGTGGTGGCTGACCCTCTTCCTCTGCTGCAGAGGATCCCATCTTGGGAAGGCACCACACCTTCTCTAGCCTTCTGTGGCCAGTGGCATCTGGGTCGTTTCCCTTTTTGGCTCCACGAATGCTGGCTGTGATGGACACTCGAGCGCATGTTCTTTGGGAACCACATGGACGTGCTCTGCTGGGCACAGGCTGGGGGCGGCGTTGCTCCGTAGAACATGCACATGTCCAGCGGCTCCCAGGGTCTGCTGTACCCCCACCTGACCCCACCCCACCCCGACCAGTGTGCAAGAGTCCCTCCTGCTCCACCTTCTCGCCGCCACTCGGGGATTTCCGCCTGTGTCCTTTTAGCCATTCTGGTGGGGTCTAGGAATATCTGAATGTGGTTTTAATTTTTGCATTTCCCTGATGACTAATGAACTTGGATGCCATTAAAAAGGTTTATTGGCCATCTGGGTATCTTTGGTGAAACTCAAGTCTTGGGATTTTTTCTGTTGGACTATCTTTTTCTACTGAAAGGGAACTCGTGCTTTCTGTACACAGGATGCGAGCCCTTTGCAGGCACGTGTGGTGAGCATCTCCTCTGTGTGCCTGTTGACTCCCAGCACTGTCTTTTTGATAAATAGAGGTTCTTAATTTCAGCGTCATCCAATTTGTCATTTTTCTCCTCTCGTGGTAAGCGCCTGTTGTTTCCTGTTTAATGAATTTTTACCTACTCCCAAGGTATGGAGAGGTTTCCCCCTAAAACCTGGCCCGCTTGCCTCTCTCAGGTGGATCTGCAGCCCACCTGGAACCGCACCCCTGGTGGAGGCACACCCGCACATCCTCTCTCTTCCTTCACAGTCACCCGAGACATACGTCAGGTGGTATGTGTGGAGGGGTCTGTCCTGGACTTTTTCTCATGTCTCCTTGGTGATTTTCTCTACGCATGTGCCAATCCCATGGTGTCTTAACTTCTATGCCTTTAAAAAGGTCTTGACAACTTGTACAGTAAATTGGCATTTCTGTGCAAATTTTAGAATTAAATTAACAGTTCTTAAAAATATATAAGCCTGCCGGGAATCTGATTTGGTTTGTGTTGGATCTATAGATTAATGGCCAGTAGGGGGTCTTCCTGGTTGACTCGGGATTTAGGCTCACAAGGCCCCAGGGGAATAAGGACAGGACTCACAGTGGCCAAGTGGCCAGCAGGGTGGTGCCAGGCGCCCCTCTCCGGGAGCGGTCCCTGCAGTGGCCCACCAGCCGTTCCCGGTGAGTCCTGTCAGCCTGTTGACAGAGCAGGTGCGGGGTAAGAGCTCCATGGCGGGCTGGATTGGGAGCTGGCATGGCTCCTGGGGTCCCACAAGGGACACACTCCATGACAAGGAGTTGTGGGCACATTGGCAATCATGAGTCACTTTTACGGAACACAGTGTTGACCAGGAACCCAGCGAACAGGGCTAGAACGTCAGGGAAGGACGTTTGTTGAAGTCTGGCCCACAGGGAGGACTGATGTCTGACAACACGGGGCCTTCCACCCCACAGGCGTGGGCTGCCTCTCCATTTTTCCAGTTCTTCTCGAATTCCTCTTAAGGAGGTTTGCAGTTGTCAGAGCAGAGGTCACGCACATCTTCTGTCAGATTCTCCCGAGGTATTTGATGATTTTTGATGTTCCTGAAAAGGGCATCACTGACACACTTCCATGGTCTATCTGTTTGTAGCCGGCATGTACAAACACAACCGAGGCTTGTCTGGTGGCCTCATGGCTGTCAGCAGGACCTGCTAACTCTGCACGTTAATTCTCACGTTAACCTCGAGGCTCTTCGCGCCTTTCAAGGTACGCGATCACATTCATGGGGAACAACCAGTTTTGTCTTCCTTTTCAATCTTCTGCCTGTTTCAAGTGTTTCTGTACGAAACTGAATATAAGGGGTGATGGTTAACTTCCTGTGTCATTTCCACTCTTGGAGAACATTTTTCAATATTTTACCATACAGTCTGGTGTTTGCTATGGAGTTTTAAAAACATTCTTTATCAAATTATGGAAATTATCTTCTATCTTAATTTTTTGAAATCACAAATTGGTGTCGAATTTTTATAAATGCTTTTTCTGCATCTATCAAGATGATTTTTTCCTTTTCCTTCTGTTAATATGGTGAATTAAACTGAATGATTTTTTTAACATTAAACCACATGGAGTGCAGCTGTGTGGCCCTGGCGCAGATCCCTTCTGTGATCGCTGGATTTCTAACATTTTTTGTCTGTGTCGATGAGAGGTTTCCTTCCTTGCAACGTCCCTGCCAGGCTTCCCGTGTCGAGGTTCACAGGCCTCTGAAAAGAAGAGTTAGGAGGTACTCCTTTCCTCTTCAGAAGAGTTCTGAAGGACTACTGCTTCCCTCAATGTTTGGAAGAACTTACTGGTGAAGCCAATTTGGTCTGAGATTTTCTTTGTGGGGGTGTTTTTAATAAAAGATTCAACTTCTTTAATAGACATTGAATTATTCAGCTTTTCTATTCTGTCAGCTTTGGTAAGTTGTATTTTTTGAGGAATCTGTCATTTTATCCTAATTGTCCAATTTATTAGAGTAAGGTTATAAAAAATATTCCCTTATTAGCTTTCTGATGTCTAAAGGATCTCTGTGATTTTTTTTTATTACTGATACCGGAATTTTGTGTTTTCTCTCGTTTTTCTTTATTGAGTCTGAGTGTTTATCAATGTTTTTAGTCTTCTCTTTGGCGCCAGCTTCTGACACTTGATTTCCTCTGCCATGTACTTGTCATAATTTCATCGTTAAGTTCTTATTTGCCCCCTCTATTTTTCTTAGGTGTTTTTGTTCTAGCTTCTTGAAGTCAAAGCTTAAATCACTATTTTTAAGACTTTCTTCTTGTGTTCAAGGCTGTATCTTTTCTCCAGGCCCTGTTTAGATAAGTCTCACAGGTTTTGAAATGTACTCTTTTCATTATCTACGTCAACTTAAAATCTTTTCTAAATTCCATTGTGATTTCTTCTTTGACCAATTGCTGATGATAAGCATGCTCTTTAATTTCAAGACAACTGTGTTTTCCACAGGCATCTTTTAGTTATCGATTGCTAGTTTAATTTCATTGTGGTTGGAAAACAAACTGAGTGATTTCAATCCTCTGGAATTTGTTGAGGCTTCCTTGTGGCCCAGCATCTGTCAATTTTGGTAAATGTTCCGCACACACTTGGAAAGAATGTGTACCCAGTGATTATTAGAGCAACGTTCTGTGAACGTCAGGCCAAGGCTGTCCAGACCTTCTGCATGCTTAGATTTTCCTACTTCCTTCTGCAGGCTCACCCGTTTTCCATCTGTGTTCTCCCAGCGACTGAGAGTGGTGAAAGCCTCCCGCTGGAATTGGGGTCTGTCTGCGGCTCCTCCTATGTCTGTCAGTTCTACTTTGTGTGCGTGAAGCTGCATCGCGGGTGCACAGAGACTCAGATTGTGATCCCTGATGACTGATTCCTGTGCAATTGTGAAATGCCCCTCTTTACCTCTAGTAATACTTTTCGCCATAACACCTGGCTTTCACCTGATTAGTATTTTCATGGTGTCTGTACTGTTTCTCATCTTTTCCTTTCCATATTTCTATGTCCTAACATGTGAAGTGTGTCTTTTTCAAGCAGCATATAATTGGATTTTGTTTTTCTTTTATCCAGTCTGACAATCTTAGTCTTTGACTTGTAGTGTTTAGTCAATTTACATTTATTGTAGTTACAAATATATTTGGGTTTATATCTACTATTGTACTGTTCTTTTTTCACTTGAACCATATGTTTTTATATTCCTTCTTTTGGGATTAATAAAATATTATCATTTATTTCCTTTTTATTAACTTAGTTACACATTATTTTAGGTACCCTAGGGACTATCACATTCATCCTTGACTTAGTATAATCTAATAAAAATATGAATTTTACATTTCCCTGGTAGTGACAGAACCTTAATAGTTTAAATTCTATTTAACTCTTCCTGCCTTTGACAATACTGTTGCCTTCTATTTTACTTCTATAACATAACTTAACTCCACAAAATGTTAAAATTATTGTCTTACACAGTGAATGTTTATTTCCTTGTGCCCACACACTTGTTGTTTGTAGTATTCTTGAGTCTCTCTGGGATTATTTTTTCTCTAACAGAGCCCCTTTCAGTTTTCCTTTGATTGTAAGCTACCTGGGGACATACCCTCAGTTTCCGTTGTTTTAAGTGTCTTTACTTCATTTTGACTTCTGCTGGTTGTGGAATCTCAGGAGGCAGGTCTTCTCTGGCCTTGTCCCAGAGGACGTCCCAGGCCGCCCTCCGGGCTCCTCTCTGTCCTTGGTGCCCAGCGGCTCTGCTCTGACTTGCAGGTGCCATTTTCCTTGTGTCTCTCCTGCATGAGGTTTGCTGAGACTCCTGACCTGTGAGTTTCACTTGTTTGGGGAAGTTCTCAGCCATCACCTCTTTTCCGTGTTGCCTCTGCTCCAGGTTTTGCTCTCCTTCCTTTCAAAGACTGAGGTTAAACATGTGTCTGGACTTTCCAGAGTTTCTCACACAGCACTTATCCCCTGCTCTGCCTTTTCCATTCTTTTTCTTCCCTACTTGGGGAGTTTCTGCTCTTCTGAATTCAGTGCACTGACTCGGCCTTGGGCTGTGTTCGCTCTGCTCTGAATGTGCGCACTGACCTCTTCATGTCTGAGACCGCATATGGGAAGGCCTCGCGGGGGGCCAGTGTCCTTGAGGCTGCCTCCTCCCAGCCGGGTCTGTTTTTCCCAGGCACTGTGAGACCACGACAGATTCCACTGCCTTCTAGAAGCTTTCTAGCAAACTCCACGAGGCCCAGGACTCAGCAGCTGTCCCTAGGCTGTCGTCACTTGGGCCTGTGCCAGGTCCCAGTGCGTCGGCTCCACGTGCGCTGCAGGCATGGCTGCCTCTCTTCCTCGGAGAGCTCTCCATCAGGTCCAGTCCTGTCTGCTCCCGGATCAGCCAGTGACCCAGGGGACAGACAGTGACCGTCAGCTCGCTGCTGAGGGCTTACCCCTCACAGAAACTTTAGCTCAGCTAGTTCTTGTTGCTTCCACAACCGATGATTTTAAAACATCAGTTGCTGCAGTTCACCTGGCTGTTTCTGTGGCTGTCGCAGTCGGCTTGCTGTGACCCACGGCCTCCTCCCCTGCCCCGAAGTGCAGTTGGCCCTGGAGTCTGTGCCTGTCTGTGTGCCTGTGAATCGATGCAGGTTCTCCATGAGGATTCTTGAAATAGTAGGAGGAGGAGCAGTAACAATACCCATGATGGTGCTGGCCACCCCTGACCAAGCCCCCTGCACGCCCAGGCCCCACTCTACCCGACTGAGCCCCCGCTGTGCCTAGGCCGCACTCCACCCTTGGCCGAGCCCCCGGTGTGCCCAGGCCCTGCTCCACCCGTGGTTGAGCCCCTGGCAGGCCCAGGCCGGTTCTCAGCACTTGACATGCACTGATGCATTTGGTCCCTCAATTTTCCTATGAGGTGGGCACTGCATTACCTCCAGTCACAGGGGAGGAAATGAAGGCGGGGTGGGCGGGAGTGGCTGGCCAAGGTGTCCACCTATTTGCAGAAGAGCTGGGACAGCAGCCGTCTGCTCCTGGATTCTGCCACCTGACTGTTCTCTCATTACCTCGTTCAGTAACGCTGACCGGGCAGCCCATTTTACTGCACATTGCATGTGCCGCCCCCACATAGAGTGAATCAGTGGGCATATGTTCTCCAGTGCAGCTGCCCAGGCTGTGCCTCCTCATCCAGGCTGGCCTGGCCTACTCCAGGCTCAGGGCTGGGGCCTCTGCTCTTCAGAAGGCAGAAGGCTCTCCATCACTGGGGTGCAGGCCTGGCTCTCAGCGGGGGCGATTCTGCTCCATGGTGACGTCTGGAGAGAGTTTTGGCTGTGTATCTGCAGTGGGGGTACGGGCATCTGGTGGGTGGAGGTGGGGATGCTGCTGAATATCCCGCAGTGCACAGGACGGTCCCCCAGAGAAGCATAGGCCCCAACATCACAGGAGGAAAAGCAGCCCCGGGGGAGGGGTGTGAGGTCAGACCCACACGAAGACACGGAAGCAACCATGAGGGATGGCGAGAACGTCCTGCCCGTCTCCCTGATCTTTTAGACTCCGCCAGCTTCTGTTTCTTTAAATGCTGCAACTCTTCCTGCTAGTCCCAATACAAGAAGAGGTGCCATCAGCTGGAAGGCTCTGCAAACATTTCTCAGAATTAAACCCCGTGACTTCACCGAGGTATAAAACACTTCCTCGAACTCAGTCAGGGCTGAAGGCATTGTGCCGCCCTGTCAGATGCCCTCGGGGCACTGTCCCCTGCCACAGGTCTGCTGCAGGCCCTGGGCCTTTATACCTGAGAGCTTGCGCTCCACACAGTCACCGAGGAGGTGGGCTGCTATCCCCACAGGCCCACAAGGAAGCTGAAGGCCAGAGTGGTCGAGTGACCCTCCCGGAACCACACAGCTAGCAGGAGGCAGAGCCCGGACGTGGACCCGCCTGAGTCCTCTCCACAGTTGGGCCATGACAGTGGAGTGCATCTGGGAGCCGCGGGGCCAGGCAGCAGGGTTAGAGGGTGCCCCCAGCTTGGTTACCTTGGAGATGGCAGCCAGCCTCTGCTCCACACTGGTGAACAGGCTGGTGGACGTCCTCTCCTGGAGCTTCAGCCTGTGCTCGAGCTGCAGCAGGGCCGCCAGCTGGGAGCTGCTGGTGTCGGCCGTGGCCGTGAGCAGGACATCCCGCATCATCACCGAGGCCGAGCAGCTCTGAAACAGACCACGGTGGTGCAAGGGGCCTGAGCCCCGTCTAGGGCGGCCGGGTGTCCATGTGGGACGGGCCAGGCTGGAGCCCGGACGAGGGCCCTGGGGCTGCCCTGGCTCTCGGAACCAGCTCCCTCGGTACGCCCCGCTTCTCCTGGCTGCCAGCCCTTCATGTTGTGAACCCAGCGCCTGCCCGCCATGGGATGCAGGGAGGGACACATGAACGTGTCTTTGCTCTGTGCCTCGAGAATGTGAGGCGTGGAGAGCTTCTGCTGCTTGGGGGGTTGGATAAGAATTGATAAGAGGGGTTGGGGCTGAGGAGAATCTCAGCCGCACAGTACGGCCTCCCCGACCTTCTTCCTGGGATCTACGGCTCTCTCCTCTAATTGAGCACCATTCTCAAGACAGAGGCCCCAGCTGCAGCCCAGCTTGGGGGGCCGCCAGCTGGGGGAGCACCGGGTGCTCGAGGACCTCCCTCCCCCGAGGTGGCCGAGGAGGGCCTCGTGGAAGGCACCCAGGGCAGGGCCGCACCTGTGACAACACCAGGAACTGGCAGGCGGCCGCTGGGTCCCGACTGCCGACGCACTCCACCATCTCCAGGCTGGCGGCTGCTGCGACGTCCAGGAGGCTGCTGCCCAGGGAGAGCTGCAGGCACTGCAGCAGCACCTCAGACGCCTGCGCCAGGTACCGCCGGGCCAGCGCCATCCTCCTCTGAGGGCGCAAGGCTTGGGCTTAGGCGGGCTCCACGGGAGGGCATGCGCAGGGCAGAGGCAGCAGCGTACCTTCAGATCTGAGCCTTTCCTGCTGTGCTCCTCGGGGGCTGTCCTGAAGGCCGGCAGGTCGCTGTTGTGCTCCTCGTCGTCCCCCTCCTCCTGGAGTATCTCCAGACCCTTGAGGCTGCTCGGCTCAGCACCTGCCTACAGAACACGCGCTGCCTGTCAGCTGGCGCTTGTCAGTGTGGACACTGTCCACCCCCGAGGGCACCCGCGGCTGTTGGGGCACCTTTGCAGGATGCCTGGGTGAGGCTGTGGCCCAAGGGCCCCGGTGGTTGGCAGGAGCAACAGGGTATCAGGGTGGGAAGAGGAGCAAGCCTGACTGTCACTGGTCTCGGGTCAGCTGCATTCTGTGCTCACTTTCCTTTGGCCCTTCAAAGTCACCTTCCCTGGGTGTTGCAACCCCAACCAGCACTGTGCAGCAGGGACCGAGGGAGTCAGGGGCCTGCCTGCCAGGGGGGTGGTAGGGACAAAGACACAAGCAAGCCCCTACCGGACCTGTGCTGGCCTGTCTGCAGAACAAGCCACCCTGACAGGGCCCTTGGGGATGCCAAGGAGACCCTGCCTGGGGCAGCCAACCCAGGAGAACTGGGTTGAGGGGGAGCCCCTGGGCTCGCAGGGTCACAGCAGGAGCAGTGGGAGGAAGTGAGTGGTGCATTTCTTGGAAGCCTCCTGCGCCCAGCCAAGTGAGACTCAGTGCAGGCTTCCCTGATGGCCCCTCCGAGCGGGCTACTGTTCGCACCACTTCATAGACGAGGACACTGGCTGGGACAGTGGGGGCCATGCTGCGGCCCCATTCCTGGTCCACGTCTACCTGACTCAGAACCACCCGGTACTGGTTGAACCATCAACTCACCCAATATATGTGAGTCCCATCCTAGGCCCTGGGGACCCAGGACAGATAACCCATTAAGATGACCCCAGACCTGCATGCCCCACCCTGCAGGAAGGCGGGGGCACTAGCCCCAAATCATACTGGAGGGCAAATTTTAGCTGCTTGGGGCTGGGGGTCTTCCCAAAGGAGCAGATCTGTGGGAACAAGCTTGGCCTCCCCGCTGGGCAGATGCCCTCCAGCTGGAGGAGCTGGCACCCGCACAGGTGTTTAGGATGGTGATCTGGACCTTCCCCGACCTGCAGCAGCTTCACCAGAGTTCCTTCCTGGAGTAGGGTGCTGTCGTGAGGGCACCCAGGCCTGCTGGGCAGCCCTGCTGGGGCTTAAGAGAAGGGTTCAGGCCTGTGTGCACCCACGTGGCTGGTGGCCAGGGGGCTCGAGCCCTTGCTTTGGCCTCACTGGCCTGGGTGGCCCCACTGCACATCAGGCGGGGCTTTAGCACCAGTGCTCAGGCACACCCCCGACTCCCTGGCAGAGGGCTGCTGAGCCTAGGGAGACGCCAAGAGCGGAGACGTGCAGGACTCCTCGTTTGGCCCGCTCATGTGCCCGCCCTCCTCTCCCCCCTTACTCTCTGCGAGGGCAACTTTCCCCATAGGTCTGTCCCTAGGAGCCCATGTTTCTCTCTGGCCCCACTGGCCCCACTGGCAACACTGTGTCTCGCCTTTTTCTCCCTTCCTCAGGCCACGCCTTCTTAACCGAGGACAATTTGAGGCCTGTTTTATATCCCAGTTCTTACTAAGATCAGTGACTTTTAATTTTGTTTTTGTTTTAGGCACAGGCAGGAGGTCTGTGAAGCAGGAGCACTTACTGAGAGACTCTCCTCCCAGTAGGAGGCAGGGCGCACAGGGTCTGCGTGCACAGCCAGCAGGCGGAGGGCCTTCCCGGCCAGGCCCAGGACCCGGGCACGGATCTCCACGCAGCCGACACACAGTGATGGCAGGCTCCCCAGCTGCGCCAGTGCAACGTGGGCCAGGGTTCGCTTCAGCGTGAACCATTGCTTCAGGAACACAAACCTCATTAAGGTTACCCCCACTCCCGCCCCAGGAAACGCAAGAGGCCTACCCTCTAAGGTCCCCGAGATGGGATCCACCCTCTAAGGCCCCCTGGGACTGGTGACATCCATCACTCTGAGAAATGTCCCCTGCCTGGTGGGGAGGGTCTCCAGAGGATCACTAAAGGTTGCTTGTATAACCTTAATTTGGGGCTCATTGACAAATATGTGAGTTTGTATCAAATTTTAGACTATCTTTGATCCATTTATATTTACATCAAATTAATTTGATTCATACTTCATGAAATCTAAAAAGATGTCTAAAATGGCAGAATATATATTTCCTTCAAAACAAATACTTTGCAAACTCAACTTATTTTTCAAAAAAATGTACTTCCCCTTTCTCAAGCTCTCACATGGTGACATAATTAGTCAAGGCAAAGTCATGACTCGGGAAGGAGAGCCCTAATGTGTGTAGGAGACACCCCCCAGTACGACCCCTAGTTCAGCAGCTAGTTAGGTCCCCTCGGGCCATCAGATGAGGCCTTTCCTCAGCAAGGCCTGGAAGCCCACCCAGCCGCCTGGGCTGCTGAGCAGGAAAGACACTCAGGGATCTTGGGCAGAATGCTCCGGGCCCTCCTATTCCCACTGGTCAGTCTTCTTCGCAGGCACACCGTGATGGAGACCCCCTCACAGCATGACAAGCCCCTGTGGATCAGAGAGGCCCCTGGCTAGACCCCAGGATGGGGCCCAGCCAGCCTCCTGATGGTTACCAAGCCGATGGACGTGTAGTCGCTCGTGCTCTGCAGATAGTCCGCCAGCAGCTTGTCCATGGAGCCCTGCTCCAGCTGCTTCTCCAGCGCGTCCTCCCAGCTCAGCTGCAGCATGTCCAGAGACATCTCCACGAGGCTGAGTTTGAGGCGCGCCAGCTTCCTCATCAGTGGAGTGTTGACGTTCTGCAGCTGAGACACCAGGACATTGTCGAGGCTCTGAAAGTGCCCCAACGAGGCTCAGCCTCCGTTTAAAGTCAGCCCCGAGGAGGCACCACGGACAGCGCTGTGCTCTGATGGTGTGGACACACCCACAAAACCACCACCACAATTAAAATAATGGACGGACGCCTCACCCTGCTTCCTCATCTCCCTTTGTAACACTCCCTCCCTCCTAGGAAACACTTGGCTACTTTCTGGCACTACAAATTAGTTTGTGCTTTCCAGGGTTTATGTGCACGGCGTCACATCGTGCGCACTCTCTCTGTCTTGCTTATTAGCTCCCTCCTTTTAACTGACTGCAGTTATCCTGATCATGATTGCCGATAATCCAGGGAAGAATTGACATCTTAATAATAGCAAGTCTTCTGATCCATGAACTTGATATATCTTTCCATTATTTAGATCTTTAATTTTTCTCAGCAGTGTTGTGTAGATCTCAGAGTAAAAGTTTTCACTTTTTTGTCGAGTTTCTTTTTTTATGCTGTCATAAATGGCATTGGTTTTTCAAATTTTAACATCTGATTGACCATTCCTAGTATCTAGAAATACAACATTAGTATTTGCATACTGTTCTTGTGTCCTGCAACCTTACTAAGCTCACCTGTCAGTCCTAGCGGCTCTATTACTCTTTCTGTAGATGCACAGGATTTTCTCTGCAGACGACCACGTCTCCTGCACAGTTTATTTCTTCCTTTGCAAGTGAATGCTTTTAATTTCTTTTCTTGCCTTCTTGAATTGGCTAGAACTCCAATACAATTCTGAATAAAAGCAGAGAGAGGACACACCCTGTCTTAGTCCTTATCTACGGTGGCGGTTTGTCCACTTCTCCAGCGCAGCGTTATCAGTTTCTGCTTCATTTATTTGGAAAGTCTGTTATTAGGTGTATAAATGTTTAGAATATCATGTCCTCTTGGTCGGCTGACCCCTTTACGCTATGAACAAATTCTTTGTCCTGGTGATGCTCTTTCCCTGACACTTGCTTTGTCCCATGTGGACGGGGCGCTCCAGCGCCCCAAGAGCGTCGCACGACCCGATCCTTCTGCCCTTTCGCTTTCACGGGGTTAGTCGGCGTGTTTAAGCAGCTTTCTTGCAGGCGGCTGAGAGGCGGGTTTTGCCTTTCTGTGCAGTCTTTGGATTCGTGTTCAGACCAGTTCCATTGGTGTGACTATTTTGTGATTAGGTCATGGCTCGTCGTCTTGCATGGTTTTCTAGTTGCCCCATCTGTTCTTCATTCTCTTTCCTCTTGTTCTGCTTTCTTGTGGAACAGGTGAATAGTTTCCATGATTTCTTTTCATCTCTTTCTTGGCTTATTAGGCATACTGCTCTGTTCTGGAATCTCTGTGGTTGCCTCAGGGTTCATGGTATATTATGCTACTTTGTGCAGAGTATGAAAAATCCTTTATTCTGTTGTACATTTTGTTTTCACTTGTGTTCTAAGCCCTATGCTACATTAGTTTTCTTAAATAGCCCATTATCTTGTAAAGAGACATAAATAACGAGAGAAGATCTTCTGTTTCCCCAGGAAGCTGACATTTCTGACACTCTCCACTCATTCATGATCATATCTCCATCTGGGATCCTTTTCCTTCTGCCTCGAGGACTGTCTTAAAAGTTCTTGTGGTGTGGGTCTGCTGATGATGCATTCTTGTAGCTCTTGAATGTTTGGGAAAAAAGTCTTTATTTCACCTTCACTTTTGAAGGTATTTTTGCTGGGTACAGAATTCTTGATTGACAGTCTTTCTCTCAGTACTTTGCAGATGCTGCTTACCTCTCTTCTCCATCACACTGTTTCTGGTGAAAAATCTGTGGTCTTCTTATCACTGTTGCTCTGTACACAACATATGCTTTTTTCTCCAACTGATTTTGAGAAGTTCTTTTAATCTGGTTTTAAACAATTTAGTTATGGCCTTGGTATAGTTTTATTCCTATTCATAGTTCTTGTGCTTGGCATGCATTGAGTTTATTCGATCTGTGGGTATATGGTTATTTTTATTAAATTTGGAAACATTTCAGCCATTCTTTCTTCAAGCTCTTTTTCTGTGCACTCGTGCTTCCCTTCTCCTCGCAGGATTCCAGTCACACCAATTCTCACGCACCCAACCTTGTTTCTCACCCACTGACATGGTTGCTTACTCTCTTTCTTCCTTTTTTCTCCCACAGTCTCTATCGCTGTGTCGTCTTCTGCAGTGTCAGCCATTTATCCACCCAGTGCATCCTCCACCTCACACAGTAGTTTTCACAGCAGTAGTAGTCTGATTTTGGTCTTTTCGTGTCTTCAATAAGTCTACCTAATTTGGGGGCATCTAGAACACAGTCATAGTAACTGCTCTAACATCCTTGTCTGCCAATTCTGTGTCTGTTCTGGGCAGGTTTTGATTGATTGGTTAGTCTCCATATGATGACCTGCATTTCCCTGCTTTTTGCGTGGGAAGTTTTGCACGCAGCTTTTGATTGTCCTTTGGCGTGGCGATTTTTGCCTGGTTGCCAGACCTGGTGCATTTTACTTTTCAGTGGATGGACATGTTTCTACTTCTGTAAATGTCCTAGACCTCTGTCCTGGGGCAGGAAGTCACGTGGAGGCAGCTGGTCCTCTCAGGTTCTCCTTGTGAGGCCTTCAGGCGGGTCTGGAGCTGGGCTCGTCCAGGCTGGTGAGCCCGGCAGAGGCAGGCCCGCTGTCTGCTCTGCCCAGCACCCTGTATCATGCGGTTGTCCAGTTCAGCTGGTGGAGTGGGAACTATTCCCAGGTCTGCGTGAGTGGAGCTATTCCCAGGTCTGCGTGAGTGAAAGGCAGTTTCCTAGAATCCTTCTAAGTGGTGCTTCCCGGGTAGCGTCCTCCCAGGAACGTGTTGATCAGCCCCCAGCTGGACACCCTGAGGTCCCCTGAAGACCTCTGGAGCCTCCTTTCTGTGAAGCACTTACCTTGCTGGTCCTCTGTCCTGCAAAGTCCAGCTGCCCGGCCCTCCTTGGACTCGCAGCTCTATCCCCTCAACTCAGGCAGTCAGCCAGACCCCGCCTGGCTCCCCTCCTGTGGCAGCAGTGAGCATGGACAGTGCTGGGGTCACTTCTTCTCGGGTTTACTGCTTCCAGTTGCTGACATCCAGTGCTTTGAAATCCTTGTTTCATGTTTTTGTCTGTGTTGGTTGTTTCAGATGGGAGGGTAAATCTACTTACTGTTGCTCCATCTCAGCCACTAGTGGAAGTCAGCTGTTGTGTTTTCAAGGCAAGTTTAGTGTGTGTATTCACATGCTGACGGGATTGATCTAGGCATGAGGGAGTGACCAAAAATGCGCCCACGCACACAGGACACACACTTACGTCTTGAAGGGACAGCAAGCCCTGAACACTGTGGAATCGCTGCTCTTCTTCCGCCACGGCTCTCTGGGCCAAGTGGTACGCGGCCAAGTAGCACACAGTTTTCTGCTCTTCGTCTTTCTCGTCTTGGGCGCACAACCTTCATAAGATGGAAGAGTGGAACTTAGAGCAGAAATAGCACAGCATTATGTCATCAGTGCTAACAACACATGTGGTATGTAATTTCTGTATAATTACGTTGCATAATTTTATTAGCACTTAAAATTTTATAATTAGATGTTGGACATATAAAGATATTCTCAATATAGCTTAACACAAAAATAAGTAGGCACACTATACTATTTTTATAAAAAATTAAATCTGTGCCTAACAGATCAGATGAACCAAACCACAGTGTTAATCATACTGATTTAAATACCTAATTTTCCTGTTTGTGCTTTTCTGCATTCCTCAGTGTTCTACAATGACCATAAACTGTTTCTATAACAATAATAGGATTCAGGCTAGATTGCACAGGTGTCCAGGTTGCTTTTCCCTCACAGAGGCTGTTTTTAACACCTTCCATGTGATCTGCCTGTTGTGTTTTAAAATACCTGCGTGTACACCAAGCACTTGGTAGGCCGGGGCAGGGTGGAGGGTGGGGAGATGGGAGGAGAGTGTGTTTACTGAGGCTTCACCCAGTCCCTCTTCCCTCTGCGGAGGACAGCCCAGGACAGAGGGAGTCAGGCCAGCCCCTGCCCTGGGTAAGAGCGGGCCTCCGAGAGGTCACCTGAGGGCAGAGCCTGAGGCCAGAGCCAGTGCCAGCAGGTGCGGGGGTGTGTGGGTGTCCCTGAGGGAGGTAAGGGTGGCCAGGGAGTGGGGCCAGGAGGAGGCCGTGTTGGGGGCTGATGGGGGTTTGCCCCAGAGGAAAGCTGGGCATGTGGTCAGGAGGTGGGGGAAGTGGCAGTGGAGAGGAGGTTTCGAGGGGAGAAGGCAGGACGGGCCTGGGGAGGGGCTGTGTGCAGGGACTGTCACTGAGCACACTGCAGGCTGGCCCCTGGCCCTGCTCAGAGTGGCCTCCAGAGGGCCAGCTCTCGTTGTAGGCAGAATCTGCAGTGAGGCCCGCTCACCTCTTTATCTTTGCACGCTCCAGCTTTATATCCACACAGTGCTCTTGGTAGCCACAGCTGATGAACCTGTTCTCAATCTCCAACAAGTAGTCATCCATCTGGTTCAGCAGAAACGCGCGATCAGAAGGTTCGCCCTCAATTGGCTCCTGGGCGACTTGGATGCGGAGGCTCACAGACCTGCGGGGGCAATTCCTCTTTAGATGCTGCTGAGCACATGCCCTGAGGTAGCTGGTGGTTTCTGACAAAGTCAGCAACTCTAGGACAACATGGACCACCCATGTGGCTGCCACCAGCATCTCTAGCTTTCATCTAGGATGTGGGAAGAAACACCGTCGGGAGTGCTCCTTGAAAACCAGAAATCATGTAGGCCACATTCTTGGATCACAGTGAACAAAATTAGAAAGTAACAACCCCCCCCCCCCCCCACCCAGGCATTACATCCATTTGGAAATTCAAAACCACTCTTCTAAATAATCCTGAGCAGAAAAGAAAACCCACGTGGAAATGACAATCCATTCACATACCAAGTCTGGGGTGTGCTGCCTCGTAGGGCTCAGAGGTGTGTTCATTAGGGAAGGAGACAGAAGGGGTGGGGATTAAGTGATCCGCTGAGAAAAGAAACGACAGCCATGAACAGCCCCCTCGCCAGCACAGAAAGAAGAGCTGAGCTAAGACGAAGCAGAAAATTAAAAAGCAAAAAGACACGGGCCCTGCTGCTTTGGTCATTGTCATTAAGACAAAAGCTGCTTCTCTGAAAAAGTCAGGTTGTAACCTACAACTCTAATTTAGGAGAAGAGAGATGGCACAGATAAACTACAACGAGGGGCAAAGACCTATGCTGAAGACTTTGCAAGTTACAGGACAAGAAGCTGTGAACAGGGCCGGCCCCGTGGCCGAATGGTTAAGTTCATGCGCTCCGCTTTGGTGACCCAGGGTTTCGCTGGTTCAGATCCTGGGCGCCGACATGGTACCGCTCGTCAGGCCACATTGAGGTGGCGTCCCACATAGCACAACCAGAAGGACCCGTAACTAAAAATACACAACTATGTGCTGGGGGGATTTGGGGAGGAAAAAAGCAGAAAAAAAAAAAAAAGAAGATTGGCAACAGTTGTTAGCTTAGGTGCCAATCTTTAAAATAAGAAAGAAGCTGTGAACATTTATACTAACAGCTGAAAATCCAGAGGAAACAATTTTCTAGGAGAATACAAATTACCAGAAAGATGGCTCAAAAATACACTAAAAATCTGAAAGACGGATAACCATAGAGGAAATAGTAACACTCTTCCAAGTTCTGTCTCTAAAACGCCTGCGGCCTGTGCGCCAGCCCAGAAACCCTGCTGCTGCGGCCCCCTCATGAGGCTCAGACCACCAGCAGAGCAGAGACGAAAGGGGGGGCCGCCCCAGAGAGCCCTGTGCAACAGGACGGGACGCCCCCGACAGCCCACCAGCCAGGGTGGCCCCTGTTCCTAACCTCTGAGGTGACTACGGAAACCGACCTCATGCTTGATGGGAACTGAGAAGGTTCCCCGAGAAGTCAGGAACAAACCAGGCCACCTGCATGCCCATCCCAAGGACAAGGCTCACTGGAAAGGAAGAGACACTGCCTCCAGGAGCCAGCAGGCCAAAGTTGAAGCCACCTCCCTGAGGGGCCAGGCAGCCAGAGGGGCTCGGGGACAGAAGGCTCTGTTTCTCAGAGAAGGTCTGAAGTAAGCACAGGACACGCTGGGGCTTTCTGGAGCTGGGTAGAAGGGTGTGGGTACCTGGCCCTCGATATGCGAGTCCAGGAACTTCACAAGTTTGAAATATGGCATGAAAACTAGTAGATGGAAAAAGCAAACCAGACACTCATGTTAATTAACCGTTTTTCTTACAGAACATCACCTGGCTTCCAGGTCTGCGGCCATGAATTCCAACACAGACGATCGGTTAGGCCTTTCTTTCTTGAGAACCTTGAAGGCATCTATGAGTTTTTGAAACAGGTGGCAGACCTAAGGATGACACCGCCTTGGTGTCAGTGTGTCGCCCACAGGCCTCTGTCCCCGCTGGGCATGCCAACCACACCCAGGTGCAGCCCGGGGCGCCTGTAGCTCCTCACCGCCACTTCTCTTCCTTCCTTTTCCGTGCTCAAGAGCGCATCTGCCAGGGTCAGCGTCGACTTGTACCAAAACTCCTCACCTCCCCCCAGGAGCTGAGCCCTCTCTATCAGCTTCTTAGCTTGGCCATAGTTTCTCTCCTTGTTTGCCAGCTGTGCTAGAAGATACAGGCAGTTTGATTCTGCACAAGGATCCTCAAGCTCCTAAAAAAGATATTCATACGGAGATAGGATGGGGAGGAGGTGGGGGGAGAGAGTGAGCGGGAGAGACAGAGACAGAGAGACAGAGACATAGAGAGACAGAGTCAGAGACAGAGAGACAGAAACAGAGAGAGACAGACACAGAGAGAGTGAGAGATAGAGAGACAGACAGACAGAGAACGAGAGAGAGAGAGAAAGACAGGGAGAGATAGAGACAGAGAGACAGAGAGAGAGACAGACAGGCAGAGAGACAGACACAGAAAGAGTGAGAGACAGAGAGACAGAGAGAGAGACAGACAGAGGACAGACAGAATGATGGAGAGAGAGGGAGGGAGAGAGGAGAGGGAGGGAGAAAGGAGAGGGAGAGAGGGAGTGTGTGAGCACCTCTAGCCATTGGGCCTTTCCACACCCACCATCCACCCGGCTTCTCTGACCACTGAAGAGGCGGCCCCATATTTGCCCTCAGGGCATGGGGGTGAGCTTGAGGCCTGTGCAGGTGTTAAAACCTACTTCCAGGGTTCTAGAACGTGCTAATAGCCCTGAAAAGCCCCCTCCCTTCAGCAGCAGACTCCAGTGCCCTCTCAGGGTGCCGGCCCCGGGGCTAGGAGCACCCCTCCAGATGCTGGTCCAGGGCAGAGGGGCGGGTGACCTGACCGAGGATCCACATCTGTTAGGCTTTCTCTACACTGGCTGGCCAGGGCTACCCTCACTCCCCATGCATTGCACACGGTCAGAGGTGGCCCGCAGGTGGGGTGAGGTAAGGGAAACTGCTGGCCTCTGGACTGAGCCCTGGCAGGAGGACCCAGGGCTTTGAGGTAGGAAGAGGAGCAGTCCACGGCGGCTGGGCCCAGAGAAAGCAGCTAGCATGTGACCCAAAGAGGCTGAAGTGGGGGGCCTGGTAGGCCTGAGACCTCTCATCTCAAGAGCCAGGGCCCCAGAAGGCAAGTGCAGGCGTGGGTGTGGCTGCAATGTGACAGTGGCCAGGGCAGGCAAAGCAGAGGTGGACATAGAGAGGAGGTGGGCGTAGAGGCTGGACAGGATCGGGGACAGCGCCAGGAGCTGGTGGGTGGAGCCAGAGGGAAGAGGCTGAGAGCAGGTTCCTGTGGGAACCGCGTATGGGTGCAGGCACAGTCACCTCCTGAGGAGTAGATGGAGACAGGGTCCAGTCCCTGCAGACACGCGAGGGGAGACGTCATCACAGGGAGATGTCACCAAGGTTTGAGAGCCGTGACCCAGGGAGGAAGCCGAGGCGGGGGTGGAACCTGAGACTCGCAGACGTGGGGTGGGGGGCTCAGGGGCATGGGCGAGGGGAGGACCCTGAAACAGAACAGCTAAGAGAGAGACAGAGAGCCAGGGAGCTGGGGTGGGTGGATGGCCAGGAGGGAAGGTGCCTGTGGGCAGGCTGCCAAGCAGACCTGGTCCCCTGCCTTGTGAGAGAAGGTTCAGGAGGGGTGGGTGGTGGCTGGGCAGAGGTGAGGACGACGGTGTGGGCAATTCCTTTATAGGGCCTGAGGGGGGACTGACGGGGAAGGTCAGGGATGCACAGGCACAGGCTTGGAGGCCAGATTGTGGCAAGAGGGTGGGTTTGATAAAGCAGAGGACTTCTGTTACAAACCAGCGCCAGCTCACAACGGCCCACTGCCTTCGGCCTCCGGGGTCAGAGCGGTGAGTCCCCATCCACCCTTTGCGGCTCTCGCCCCCAGGAGCTCCTCAAGGCCTGTGCTCCTCCTCCTCTGGTCTCAGAAAAGCCTGTGGCCACCAGAGTGCTGTCCCCACCCCGCGTCCCACCCTGTGCGTACTCCCTTCATCAGCTGGCACAGCCTTCTTAGTCTCTTCCCCAGGCCACACTCCCTCTTGAGTCTGGTCTGCACACACCTGTCCCCACTGCCTGAAACAAAGATTGGAACCTCCCAAGGGCCACTTTTATAGTTTTATCAGGGACTTTTCTCTCTCTGGAGTTCTTCAAAACAAGTGACAACCTGTCTGGTCTGTAGCTGTGCCTCACGCTCCCAGTGGACGCAGTTCTGAATGCTGGATGGAGACGGAACCTCCTGTCTACAGGCTTTGGGGAGCAGCTGGCACGGGCAGGGCATGGGAGCTACAGTCTTTGGGAGGCGGGACGCACACGTGGGCGGCTCCACTTTGCCCCGGATTTTTCCCAAGGGCATCTATCCTTGTCGGGGACAGAGCCCAGGAGGAAAGCCACAGCCCAGCTGGGAAGAGGAGGCTGGAGCTTGGGGCTTCCAGGGGTGGGGGGCACCACCAGCAGGGCCCAGAGATCTGTGCTCCAAGGCAGAGGAGGTTCCAGAAACCCAGCAGGCCCTAGTAGCAGGGGGCTGGAATGCAAGCCATTCCAAGGGAGCTTGGTCAGCCCAGGCTTTCCATGAGCCCCAGGGAGGCCACAGACACCTGCAAGGCCCCACAGGCCCCGATGCCTGGGCAGGTGTGGGCCCTTACCTGGAAGGCCAGGTACGCCTCCGACAGGAGCAGCCTTGCAGGCTGGTACAGGTCCATCTCAAGTAGAACCTCCGCTTTGAGGGTCCACAACTGGGGAAAGGATGTTCCATCCAGGCCTCTCCCCGTCTCTTCGTTTATCTTCAAAATCTAAAAGACACGGCAGGCCTGCACTGCCACGGCCTCTGAAGTCTGTGCCCGCGGCTCCTCGGCAAAGGAGGTGGGAGCGCCTCCAAGGAGCCTGTGTCAGAGCAGGAGGCTGTGTCGTCGGCCCAGGTTCCGACCAGGCCCTGTGCCTCTGTGAGTTTTCCCTCCTGGGACACCTGTCTCCTCTACACCTCACACCCAACCAAGCCCACCACCAAGTGCGTCAGAGCCGGTTCCTGGGCCTCTCCAACTCCCTCTTGGGCTCTGAATTCTGTGTCCCCCCTACCCTGCCCCAGCTCCCTCCTCCTGGCTATCTTCCTGTACCAGGTAGCACCCTGACCAGCGTGCAGTGGTCACTGAGCTCTTGCAACTCAGCCTGATGCACGAGGGACCCTCAGCAGCCCTGGGTGCAGGTTGCGGGCTGAGCCTGTCCTGCAGGAGGAGCCAGCATGCTCTGAGGTCTTGGTGTTTTTCTACCCCGAGCATTGACTTTGGGAGCTCTCAAATGGAATCCCAGGGTGACAGGTCCTCTGTGACTTCAGAGCATGGGGTTGGGATGGTTACTTTCCTTTATGGGTGAGCCCATATGAGCTCAGCCCACCGTGTCAGGGAGAGCTAGTCAGGGGTCAGACCTCCTGGGCCCTCCCTTCCGGGCAACATGGTCTCTGCTGGGGACCCGTCTGTGCCCCCTCCAGCCCATCTTCTCTGAAGGGTTGCGTGGGCCCTGGCAGGCCTGTTCTGTGGTGGCTTGCAGGCTCGTCCTCTGGGGAATCCCAGGGCCCCGCAAGGAGGGGCTCACCCATTCCTAGGAAACCAGCACAAGGGTTTGGACCCAGTGCGCAGTTAAGACAAGTCCTGGCTCACTGGCTGGAGCTGCAGTCCTGTCACCACCCCCTGGGCTAGGACTGAGGCACTTCTGGCAGAGGGGGGTACCTTATCCCTCGCCATGAGGGGCTGCATCTCTGCTTGCTGGACTGCAGTTATGGCCTCATTCAGTGCTCGCAGACTCTCTTCTAATAGTGGTTCCTTGTCTTTCTCCTTCTTCAAGGCAATTTCTTTTCTGCAGCTAATATAAGTAAAATAGACAAGATGCCCAAGAAGAAAAACAATGGCCAAGAAATAACTGAAAATGCTCAATTTCATTAGTAACCAAAGAAATATAAATTAAAATAGCTGCAAGAAGCCACTATTCACTCACGTGTTTACAGAGATTTTAAAAAATTCCAATGACTTAGCGGCACATATGACTCCCAATTTTACGTTTCTAGGCCATTCTCTCTTCCAAATTCCGGACTCATGCATCCAGCTGCTAATCTGCTATCCTGACCTGGACGTTTAGTACGCATCTCAAACTCCGGAGCAGAACTCACCCTGCCTGGAAAGGCAACTTTCCTCTGTGCGCTGGCGCCAACCCCAAGGGGCCCACACAGCTCCAGCTTCCCATTGTCTGTCCTCGTGGTGTGTCTTCAATTGCCACCTCCCTCACCTTCGCCACTCCAGCTGGACTCCTGTAAACTCTCCGTCCTCAGTCTCCCTCCCCTTGCACGGCCTCAGCCTCAGAGATGCCCGCACACAGGAGGGGTCAGTGAGTGATAAACTGCACCACAACCAGGTACCGCCTCACCCCCGGGCCGAGGCCCCACAACACCCACTGCCCGGTGGTGGTGAGAGATGGGGGCCAGGGGCTAGGAGAGGACACAGCCGGAGCAGGGCTGGCTGCCCAAGTCCTTCTTTCTTTACAGGTGAGCTTGTGTCAGCTGAGAGTCAGCAGCCAGGAGGATGCACCACAGGTCCCCTGAACGTACCTCGCCTGCTCCATCTCTCCAAGGTACATCTGCCCGACCACTTCCTCATGGTAGGCAGCTGCTTCTCGCAGCTTCAACTCGGAACAGACCAGGGCAAGTCTGGGGGCAAGAAGGAGTGTCAGCACCGTCACAGTGAACACAGGGGATCAGTCAGACTGCACTGGCCTTAGTGTGCTTGATAAAAATTGGTAAATGCAAACAGAGATGTATAATTTGATATTTTCAATAATTTTTAAAGCTAAGAAAAATTATTAGGGAAAAATAACAGGTGGCTCTATCAAATTTCAGGTGGAAAAACATTTCAACACCGGTTCAGGTATTTCACTCAGTAGGCACTTGTGTTTGCGTGTCAGGGTCCCCTTTAGGGAAAGGTGAGGCACCATGGGGCTCTGACCCCTGCCACAGCTCAGGCAGAGGCTGCTGTGATCCTTGTGTAAAGCGATTTTATTTGAAGTGATTTCAAGCCTACAGAAAAGTTGCTCAAACACTGCACAGAACCCCTGCTGGTCCTTCAGCCAGACCCCCTCGGCGGCCGCTTCGCCGCTGCCTCCACTGCGCCTCTCCCTCGCACCCCCCCCCCCCCCCCCCCACTTCTCTCTCCCCTTCTCTCTCTCTCTCTCTCTGTCTCTTTTTCTGGACTATTTGAGAGTAAGTTGAAGACACAATGCCCCTTTATTCTAATAGTGTGTATTTCCTTAGAACAATGATATTCTCTTAAGGACCAGGGAGAAATTTAAAAATAAAAATTCTATTTTTGCGTTCAAGTATTTTGATTTATTTGGCTTTAAAAATCATAGGGACTTTATTATTTACAGAAATAGTCAACTACAGAATTAATATTTTAATTCTGTTTGCTTTTACATTGCTGTGGGGAAACTTTCACTTTAGCCACTTAGACGCTTCCCAGTTTCCCTGAAAGTAAAACAGGTGTACAGACCGAAGGTGGTAGAGATCTTTGAGGCTCTTGCTTTCTACCACGGAGGCTGCAATCACTACACCCATCTGCAGGACCGGGATCGTGAGCTCATCAAGGGACATCTTCTGCAGGGCCCTGACCAAGTGGTCCAGATAATATAAACTGTATGTCTACATAAATAGACAAGAAACATGTGAGGTCAGAGACGGGGAGGAAAGTCAGGCCACTTGCTCATCAGGTCTCTCTTTAAAGAACTCTGTCCTTCACAGTGCCCAGCACACGGATGATGTTCAACAAGCGGGTTTGTTGACTGAACGAATGGATGTTGTGCTCTCTTCCTTCTTGCCTTCAGTGGCTTTCACTTAGTCATGTGTAATTACCTATAATATTCAGCACCCAAGTTTAGCTAAAGATGCTCACAAAACAATCTGTTTATGTATTGATTCAAATTAATGTTTTTATTTTTTTCCACTAAAAACTACTGGTCCATTAGAAAACAGAACTTTTTATGTGCACAAACAACTGCTTTAAAATTTAATATAGATAGAGAAGAACTGATAATTCTTGTAAAGTCGCACTATGCTTTTTTTTTTTTTTTTTTTTTTGCTGAGGAAGATTCACCCTAAGGCTAACATCTGCGCCAATCTTCCTCTATCTTGCATGTGGGTCACTGCCACAGCATGGCCGCCAATGAGTGGTGTAGGTCCATGCCTGGGAACTGAACCCGGCCCCTGAAGCAGACCACGCCAAACTCAACCACTAGGCCATGGGGCTGGTGCCAATGTTGGACTAAGTTTGATAAAACAATTATTCTTCAGTAGAAAATTAGAAAAGTTAGATGAACTATTTTAAAAATCTGCTTAAAAGCATGAAAGAGTGAATAATGCTGGGAAAAATTACTGGGCCAAGAGCTATAAAAAGATGGAAATCCAGAGGCATGAACCTGGCCTATTGGGGTACATTTGTCCTGGGGGTGTCTGCTGATTGAAGAGGCAGCTGAGACGTTGAATGGTACTTCTGATTTTTTCTCTGCATAATGGACACAAAACACTGGAGCTGAGAGCCCACTAAAAGCTAAATGCCCAGGTTGAGTCCCCAAACAGTTGCACCTTAGAATTCAGGGTGCTCTAGAAGCAGAGCAGCCCTCTCGGGGCCTACATCCAAGCCCAGGGGCATTTGCGTGGCCTGGAAAGCATGTGGTTCTTTGAGAGATCAATAATTGATAACTCCTGGCAAGGTTGATCAAGAAAGATGGGGTGGGGGAACCACAGAAAGCTCTACAGATCCTACAGACCCCAAAAGGTCATAAACGGATATTAAGAACAACACTACATCAAATGGAAAATCCTAGAAAAACAAAGCCCACAAAAATTATTACAAGAAGAAATAGAAAATATGAAGAGCTCTATAACTATTAAATAAATTGGATCTGTAATTTAATATCTTCACAAATAGAAGACCTAGAGGCTTCACCAGGGAATTCCTCCAAACACTTAAGGAAGAAATAATTCATACAAATTCTCCCCAAGAATAGTAAAAAAAAAAAAAAAACAACAGGGAATACTTCCTAACTGACTGAAAAGGTCAGGGTGACACTGTGATATAATAAGAAACACATATTTGACCTTTGTCCCTGGTTCCTGGTGCTGAGCTCCTAAAACCCTCAGGTGTCCCAACTGACGGGGGTAAGAGGAGCATCCTGTGCTACTCCTCAGCCCCTTCCAACAGCTCCTGAGTTCATGGTCATGACGAGACTTGTGGCAGCCCCTGGACAGCTCCAGGACGGGCTGGGGGCCAGAGGAACCAAGCTTGTGATCAGAGGGCTGGACCTCTGGGGACAGGAGAGGGGCTGGGGATGGATCAGTCACCAAGGCCAACGACCTCATCCATCACGCCTGTGTCATGGAAACTCCACAAAAACCCTAACAAAGGGGTCTGGAGAGCTTCTGGGTTGGTGGACACATCACCTGTCATGAGGGTGGCGCATCCCCACTCCAGGGGACAGAGCTCCTGTGCTGGGGACCCTTCCACACCCACCCTGGACCTCCTTATCTGGCTGTTCACTGCATCCTTTATACCATCCTTTACAACAAACTGACAATCGATAACAAGGCGCCTCCCTGAGCTCGGTGAGCTGGTACAGCAAGTCATCGAGCCTGAGGAGGAGTCATGGGAGCCTCGGTTTGCAGCCAGGCCAGAGAGAAGTGGGATGGCAGGGACCCAATACTCATGATGGGCTCTGAAATGGGGGCAGTCTTGAGGGACTGAGCCCTTGACCTGTGGGGCCTGCTCTAACTCCAGGTAATTGGTGTCAGGACTGAGTTAATTTGTAGGACAGCCAGCTGGTGTCCACGGAGAACTGGCTGTTGGTGTGGAACTTCTGGTGTCAGAAGTGTTGGAACAAAACACAGTTCAGAGTCAGCATAACCTTTTGCCAAATCCTGACAAGGGTGTAGCATGACAGGGAAATCAAACACTCACCTTTCTCATGAACATAGAGGCAAACACCCCAAACAAGATATGAGCCAGTTTAACCTGACAACGCAGACATGAGTGCTGCCTCCAACCAAAGTGACTGCATTCTGACAGCCCTCAGAGAGAAACCAGCATAATTAAAGGAGTGAAGGAGACAAACATTACCCCTGGATGGATGGACACAAATTTTTGATAAAAATATACAGCCATTCATGATTAAAACTCATAGCAGGGGCTGGGCTGGTGGTGCAGTGGTTAAGTTCGCACATTCTGCTTCAGCAGCTTGGGGTTCACCAGTTCAGAGCCTGGGTGCAAACCTATGCACCGCTTGTCAAGCCATGCTGTGGCAGGTGTCCTACATATAAAGCAGAGGTAGATGGGCAAAGATGTTAGCTCAGGGCCAGCCTTCCTCAGCAAAAGGAGGAGGGTTAGAGGTGGATGTTAGCTCAGGGCTAATCTTCCTCAAAAAAAAAAAAAAAAAAAAAACTCGTAACAAATAGAAATAAAGGAACCTTCTCAGTCAATAAGGAATATCTATAAAAACCTACAAAAAACATCAATTATACTTAATAGTAAAATGTCAAAAACTCCCCCATTGAGATAGAGAGCAAGATAAGGGTGTATGCTGTCACCATTTTTATTCAACGTTATGCTGGAGGTCCTAGCCAGTAGAGTAAGGCAAGATAAGGAAATACAAGGTATAGTGATTGTAAAAATTGTTTACAGGAGTGATGTCATCATCATGGTGGAGTGAGCTTGCCCAGGACTCTCTCCCCTCCAACATACAACAAAAAGGAGCAACCATATTCCAACAGAAAACATCCTAATAGCACAGGAATCCTCAGAGACCCACAGCAGCCAAATGACGGAGGGCTGAGTTGCTGGAGCCCCCCTCGGAGAAGCTGGAACCGGGTAGGAGAGAACTTCGCTCCCTCCCCTAGAGACTGGGATTGCTGCCATGGGAGGCTCCCTGAGGGAAGGAGTGGGGGAGTGGTCGCACGTCCACAGGATCACCCAGGACTCCCTAATACCCTTGCAGCCTAGAGGGAAGCCCTCTAATGGGGTGAAAGCTTTCACGTGGGGTGACCTCGTCAAGCCAAGACCCCAGGAGACCAGATAGCGAGAGCTGATTGGGAAACCTTGGACTTCAATGCAGGAGAAAGCACTACTCCTCTGATCTGTGCCACACCGCACCATCTTGGCTGAAGGTGGAGGGCTCAGAATACATGGCTCTCGACCCCCACCCAGTGGCGATAGGCGACAGTGGTAATGTCACAATGGGAAAAACCCACAGTTCCAGCATCCAGCAGTTCATCAAAACTCCAGACCAGAGAGAAAATGACACGCACTCAGAATTTAGTCCTAGGGATGCAGAAATAAGTAAACTAAACGACAATGAATTTAGAATAGCTATTGTCAAAAAACTCAGTGAGGTAAAAGAGAATATAGAGAAACAATTCAACAAGTTCAGGAGCTACTTCGCAAAAGAGATTGAAACTATAAAGAAGAATCAATCAGAAACACTACAGATGAAAGACACAATGGAAGAGATAAAACAAAATACAGACTCCCTGAATGCTCGTGTGGACACCACAAGGAGCGAATCAGCATAACTGAAGATAGACATGGTGAGATGCTCCAGACAGAGGAGGAGAGGGAACTGAGACTAAAAGGAAATGAAGAAAGTCTCTGAGAAATATCCGACTCAATGAGGAAATGCAACATAAGAATTATAGGTATCCAAGAAGGTGAAGAGAAGGAGAATGGAGCAGAAAGTGTGCTCAAAGAAATAATAGCAGAGAACTTCCCAAATCTAGGGAATGAGAGAGAAATGTGTGTGGAGGAAGCTTTCAGATCCCCTAGATTTGTCAATGTAAAAAGACCTACTGCAAGGCATATAGTAGTAAAACTGACAAAAATGAATGACAAAGAAAGAATACTCAGGGCAGCAAGACAGAAGAATATAACCTACAAAGGAACCCCTATCAGGCTTTCAGCAGATTTCTCTGCAGAAACCTTACAAGCTAGGAGAGAATGGAATGATATATTCAAAACTTTAAAACACAAAAATCTTCAGCCAAGAATACTCTATCCAGCAAAAATATCCTTCAGATATGAGGGAGAAATTAAATCTTTCCCAGACAAACAAAAGCTAAGGGAATTTGTAGCCATGAGAATCCCCCTACAAGAAATCCTCAAGAAGGCCCTCATACCTGAAAAAAGAAAAAAAAAAATGGAGAAAGGGGTCACAAAACAGAGAGTAAGGAGACAAATAGATAGAATCAGAATAGGATAGAAAACATTCAACTATAGCATAAGGATAAAGGGAAAGATAAAACAAAGACAATCTTGTCACTTTAACCACAAACTCACAGCACAAGTTGGAATAAGATATGAGAATAAAAACTTAGGAGGAGAGGAGGAAAGGGACTGAATCAGTTTAGACTAAGGAAATAAGAGGCCCTCAGAAAATGGACTATGCTATGCACAAGATTCTGAATACAAACTTCAGGGTAGCCACTAAACTAAAAAGCAGAAGAGAAACACAAAAAATAAATACGAAAAAAAACTAAGAAACACAGCATAAGAAACTGCAGAAATCAATGGGTAGACCAAAACACACAGGATGAAAAACAAAGGAAATGCAGGAAAACTGGAAAACGAGTGACAGAATGATGGAATTAAGCCCTCATAC